GATGAATAACAAAATGTAACATATCGCTAATTCGTCCCACTTTCTATTAATTGTCTCCTTTGATCTCCCTCTAAGCCCAACACTGTCCTTAGCTAAATTAGGATGAATTTCTGCAAAGACAAGTACCTCATCGATTTGCAATGTTGAGATTATATTTCATTTTGAAAATTAACACAAACACCTCCTAGTCAGACAAAATCTCAAACACAAATAAACACTATGTTCACGTTTTCTGATGCATTAATGAACAAGCAGTCCTCTAGAACTATATAGGTAAGTGCCAGCAAGTGCTGATTGATTTAGAGCAGGGCTGTCCAACTTAATCTAGCCCAAGGGCCACTTAAAAAAAATGCAGTTTGGAGGGCCGCATTATAAAATCTTTCTATACAACATTATTACTGAGTTTTAATAGGTATATACTATACTATATGGTATACATATATGTATACATGAAGCGGGCTGCAAGAAAGGAGTTCGAGCCGTATGTTGCACAGCCCTGATTTAGAGAAACATCTGGCACTTGTCAATAAGCTGTTTTCACCCTTGCGTTATTTTGCATCGCTGTTCCTGTCTTGAGATAAGTCTTCAAGGCTAATCTATGTGAAACTGTGTCATCTATTTGTCGACAAATGACTGTGTATATATTAAGTGTGTATCAAGGGGCCACTCTTGACTTATGAAAACATCCATACATCTGCGGCTCACACAGACATTCATTTTTAAGAACAGACCATCGTATTATATACTTACGTGTTCAATTTTGAACAAAACTTGGTCCTATAGTTAATTTTAAATTCACAATGACGATCCACAATGTATTTATTTATTTTTCGATTTATAAACACGACGATTGTTTATCATATGTATGTCACTTTAGTTCCACCGGTTGCTACTCGATTGCTAGTGGCACTGTTCGGTCGCAAAAACTGCATTCAAATTGCATTCAATGACAGTTGGGCAACCGGTCGCCAACTACGTTAGCGAATACGAATTTTTCGGTCGGTCGACAATCGGTCGCAAGTCGGTTGGTGGTCGGTTGCTCACCGATCAGAGTTGGAAATTTTTACGTAATAAGCCTGCCGGTATTGAGCGTCGCCAATAGGCGCTTATTGTTGGGATCGGTGGTGGAGCGGAGCCGACAAACACGACTGTGTTGCCAGCATCACGCGCGGCAAAGTTACAGCGTTGGGAACCATATTTTTAAAACAACCCTCGAAGATATGGATAATATAACTAATATACTAAAGACAAATGTCTCACGATCAGTATTTACTGTGGTCCGTACCATCACTATTTACTAATCATTCCGACAGTTGGATTTCTGCATCAATAATTACTGAAGTCCGACAGTCAATAAATATCACTATATATGCTATAAATACTGATTATGTGTCATTTGCTTTTCATGGTAGAGAACGATTGTATCAGTTTGATACTCTTGTCGTTGGCGTGAGTAGATGGAAATCGACTAACTTACTTGCTCACTCAGTACTGGTCTACTGGTCTAGATAGTCTAATTTCCATACCGATAATAATCAAGATCTGTGGCTCAAACATTCGTCAATATGATCTTCCAGAAGCCTTAATGATTGGATTTGAATTCCGCACATTGGACAGGAACGTTTACTCAATGATGTAGGTGCAGACTATTCAATAATAACATAAAAAATATAAATCATAAAGGGGTATAATAATGTGTTTGGCAAAAAAGCTTTTTACCACAACAGCTTCTACAAAACCTCTGAAACCAGATTGTGTCGTCCCATGGAGCGAGTCGTCCGATATCTTCCCACTTGTTTCTATTTGTAACTTAAACAGTCCCGAATACCAGATCAGTACAAAATCGCTGTCACCAGAGCAGCACCAAACGCGATCGAGCATATCCTTTTTATAATTTCGTAGTGGAATTGTAGGTTAAATGGTAAGACACGACATGCAGTAGTGGTGGGGTGACATAGCCTAGCAAGTAGGCCTTATTTGACACTTTTGGTTATTGGATGAACTAGCTCCAGCAATGTGATGTACTTATTTGATCTTTCACTAATCTGGTACGTAAGACAGGGTATGTATATCCTTTTCAAGGTAAAACAGAACTGTTGTCCTATTGCATGCCAGTTTTTTTGTTGTTAATGTAGCTGGAAATTGTAAATTTAGGAACTTCATTCTCTCAGTATAACTGGTACGAGAGAACATGTCTCATTTTTCCTGTATTGAGTAATAATAATAAAGCACGTAAGTTCAAATCCGAAGTTAAAAAAATATATGTCGTGATTATGAGTGAGTGAATCTAATGTTGCATAACGTGCAAACTGTAATTTTAATTTAGACAATCACTATAAAATGAGTTAGTTACTGAATTAACATTATCAATATATGTGAAAATTCTTGATGATGATGAAGTGTTTAATGAAATATTATGTGAAGCAGAAAAACAAGTGTGTTACATTTTTTAGAAAAAGAGACCAACTTTGATTCGTATTTCCTTAAGCCGTTCAAAAAATACTTCAAAAGATAAATCGTTAAATATTTCTGCCATCGTGTCAGGTTGTCTTGTCAAATTTTAAAATAACATTATACCTCTTAAATGTTAATTATTATAGGATGTCCCATAATTAACGCAAGATTTGAATTTGCCGCCATGTTTGCAGTGAATTGAAAGCAGCTTGAAAAAAGACAATTTGACAGCTGAGAGGGTTAGTAAAAATGGAGCGTTATACGATACAACATCGTGTTTTCATTATTGAACAATATTGAAAAAATACTGAAAGTTTAGAGTTCGCATTTCGAAAATGTTATACAAAATATGGCCGGAATAGTGTTTTAACCTCGTCAACTGTGAAACGATTAATTGAAAAGTTCAGGGAGACTGGATCGGTTGGAGACGCTAAACACAGCAGTCGTCCAAAAACAAACAGTTCAAATGTTCATGTCGTGAGAGTGTTGGTGAAAACCCAGCGTATATGCACACAAAAGAAATGTGTCTTCATGCTTACAAAATTCAATCAACACAACAACTGAAGCCTAATGACGATGAACAGTGAAGAGAGTTCGTGGAATGGATTATTGAACATCAACAAGTGGATGCTGATTTTTCTAGCAAAATCATCTTAAGCGATGAAGCACATTTTCACCTTGCTGGATTTGTTAATCGCCAGAATTGCAGTATTTGGGGTTCAGAGAACCCACGTGTGATTGTCGAAAAACAAATGCACCACAACGTGTCACTGTTTGGTGCAGATTTTGGGCTGGAGGCAGTTTTGGACCATACTTTTTTGAAAATGAGGATGGTGAAACAGTAACTGTTACTGGTGCTAGATATCGCGACATGACCACAAAGTTCTTTCTGCCGAACCTGGATGCTATGGATGTGTCCAATATGTGGTTTCAACAAGACAGTGCCACATCCATACAGCCACTGAAACAATTCAATTACTGCACGAGACATTTCCTGGTCGTGTACTGTCCCGTTTCGGTGATCAGAATTGGCCCCCTAGATCGTGTGATTTAACACCATTAGATGTCTTCTTACGGGGTTATTTAAAGTCAAAGATCTATGTCAACAATCCCCACAACTACCCATGCATTACGAGAGAAAATTAAACGGTGCATCAACGAAATTCAGCCACCATTATGCAGAAAGGTCATGAAAAATTTCGGGGGAGTCATATTCTAAACATAACCCTATACCAAGTACTTTATGGTTCAATGAAAAATAACAATCTAAAGACTTAAAACTGTGTTTGCTAATTCGTTCAAAACTTCCGTTAATCTTAAGACACCCTTTTGTTTCTCATAGCAACCAGGTCTTTTACATCTAAGAGTTGAAATATGTCAGCCACTAAGCACTTATCAAAGTCCAAATCGTCTTTCTATAATAAAAATGATTTAGTGATATATTAAACAACCTTGTTTTTCGTCCACTCATTACATGTCAAATTCAAACCACAGCAATGAGATTACATGTTTTAGACGCTAATCAACACACTTGCGTTTTGAACTTACACGTATAGGCGTTCTCAGATAACTTCTAGTCAAAATGTTCCTTCTTAAAGGAGAGCTATTCAAATAACTGGACCGTATATGCGGTAGATCTCTTGTATATCTCTGTAAATCAATTTTTCAGAAGGCTGTACTCGAGCATGGGAGTTGTAATGTCAAGACAGTTCAACTCAAAATTACTTTTATTATGTATTATGTATATCACACTCAGAAACCACCTTGGAAAGCTTGGCGAAAATACAAAAATTATAACATATTCATCTGGTAAAATTTAATCACAGTTGGACGTTAGTTATGCAGCAACCTAGCTCCCGAAAGCTGACAAACATAAAGGATAAACTAACAACATTGTAATAGTTATAATTAACTCTCAGGAAATAATTTGCAAAACTGCCGTTTTACAGATTCTAAGTCACATGTTACACAAATATTGAAACGTCACGCACTTAACGTGACTTCCATCGGGCCAAACACGGCCCCATTTAAGACGCTATGGATGGTTCTATACAGGGTGGCCCATCAAAAAGATCGCACCTCCATTTGTGACTCTCTCGGTATATTTTGGGAAAAACGCTTGGACACGTCAATTTTGATTTCTATGGGGACGTTTTTTCATATATAGCCGTACAAATACACCTCTTTATAGCAAATTAATTTTTACTTTAACTTCAATGTACGTGTAAAGTGTAAGTTGTTTTTTGTTTTTTCAATACTCGGAAACTTGTTTTAGTTTTAAAGTAAAGTCTTGTTACTATGGGAACTATATTGATTTATTATTTTTACGATATAATCCCTTATTATCACAATATATAAAAATGTATTATAAACTCAAATAGCTTCACAACAATTGAAGATAGGTATAAACTTCATTATTCTAAAGTTACTAAAAACTTCATGGAAAATCTAACAATTAAAAAAATGGGAGTTTCCATTTAAAAATCTAAGGTGTAACGCAATATCCTATTTTTATATCACCCTGTATCGTACGGCTATAGATAAAAAGACGTCCCCCTATAAATCAAAATTGACGTGTCCGAGCGTTTTTATACCAGAAGAGTCACAATTATTGGCATGACTTTGTCTAATCCCAGAATTTTAGCACAGTCCATTATATCCCTTAATGCGTAACTGCAAAATGACAGGGATAGCGATCTGATCGCCATACTTGTCAATTTGGAACTAGCTATCATTCACTTCAGGTTCATATGTAGTAGCTGTGTGTATTGCCCAAACGTCAAGATACTTGAGCTGTGCGCCGTGACTCTGATGTAATTTAACATCTGCCTTAGAGATGGCACTAGCGGAGGCGATTAACAGCTTCGACGGCCTAAGCTTTAAGTTCTATACTATAATAAAGCCCCATTTTCAATACTATTCATCTTCATTATATTTCTTCAGCAAGAATAAATCAAGCACACTACAAAAACTACAAATTAGGAGAATGCGGATAATTTTGCAATGCAACAGATACACAAGAATTGAATACATTTTAAATACTCTACAGTGGTTGTCTGTAAGCCAACATCTTTACTTAATGACCATGGTACTTATATTCAATATTGTAAAAGAAACTTCGCCAAATTGTTTAGTTGCACCCCTGCGAAGAAACAATGAAAGTCATACCTATTACACCAGAATCAAATCCTATTTTCATTTAATAAAAACCAATAAAGTGTGAAAACAATCATGTACAAAGGTCAGAGGGAATATAATAAGCTACCAAATCAAATAAAAGATGCAGAGACTGTAGGTTATTTCAAGAAACCTCTTGTCATGTATATGGGAAATTCAAATGCTTATATTTAATACAAATAGATTTAGTTGAATTTAGTTTTATTGGGGGCTGCTGTGAGCCATCATTTTTTGCTTCTTGTGAATTAGGACATCACTCCATAGATGGCGTTCACAGCGAGTACGCGTGGCGAGGTCTAACGACTAGCTAGCACACCAGTGACGATCAGATGATTGTCATGATAGACAATCATTTAACATAATGGTGCCTATGTTCCTATTTTGAAAATAATAAATCAAAAATATAGAAAAGATGAGATATAAAAAATTGAAATGCAAAAATATTTTAATGTGTAAAAGCTTTTGCTTCACAAACATCAGACCTTCTGAATTATCGCAGACAGAGTTTGGTTCAATTACTATTCAATCGAGTAGTGTTATTTCTTAACGTCAAGTTAATACCGAAACCTTGTTCCCTGACAAAATTACCAATGCTACCGCATAACTACGTCCAATTAAAAATTTTTGTATATACAATATAATAAGCCAATAAAAATATGATAGCAGACAAAAAAGTACATACAGTGCTCGTCGAGGAAGCGGTATTCCCACCACTAGTCGAGGTAGTAGTGGACCTACGGGTCAGTCGAAGAGCGAATAATTCATTTCGGACCTTCTCCAGTTCCTCTTGCAACTGTTGGTTGCAAACCTGCAATGTCTGAATATCCTCCAGGAATTTGTCTTTGTCTAGTTTTATTGTCTCCTTAGCACTACGTTCTGCCTCAAAGTCTGCCTTGTATACGTCCAACTAAAAATGAAGTTGAATCTGATCAATTTCATAGTGAATACGTATCCGTATTTTACTTTTTACACTTGTAGAATCCTTGCTTTGCTATGAAAACGGTATGAAGTAATCATAAATAAATTAAATACAGTAACAAGATCCACGTTTCAAGACACAGTTTTTAAAACATTTTATTTCTAAAAACCAAAATATATACACTTTTTGCTTGTAATATAACTCAGATATCGTGATATGTAATACGAGCCCCTTCCCACTTCAGTTGGCCCAACTATTGAAATATTAGTTTTTTTCTTATCAAACACAAATAATAAAAATGTAGCAGGGTGTTATAGGTTTAAAATATTAACAATGAATATTTTGATAATATATAGTAGAAAACACCAACTTTATCACTCCCTAATCAAATTTGCAGCATAAAAATAACACATGTTGCAATTACAGCATATCAACCTATTTTCATTTCAATGTAAAATAAGTCTATAACGCATAGGTGGCTGTGAAAAATAAAAGCCATGACAATTGTTTTTATTAATCACAGCTGTCAGAATACGTTTAAAATACTTTTGGGTAGTTAAGGTTTTCAAAATGGGTAGAGGAAAGGTTATTAGTGAGAAAATTCGGTTACTGATAATTAAATTTTTTAATTCTGGGAAATCAAATTCAGAAATTGCAACTTTGTTAGACTTATCGCGGTACAGTGTGAGAAATATTATTAGAAGATATAATAAGCCACGATATGTGAAAAAAAGTAATATCACAAATGCCGACCGAAGGGCATTAAGAAGAATAATCGTAAAAAACAGGCGTGCCAATTATTTACAATTAAGTGCTGTGTGGAGTGACGCTACTGGAAGGAGAATTTTGAGGTCCACAACTCATAGAGAGGCCCACAAACTGGGATTTAGCACTTGCAAGGTAAGTTTTCTTATAAAAAACAGTGAAGTAAAAACCCTAAAGTTGCACAACTTGTTTATAGGCCAAAGAAAAGCCACTATTAACTCCACTGCAAAAGAAAAATCGGCTTAGATGGGCTAAAGAACATGGACAATGGACAGCTCAATAATGGTGTGCAATACAATGGAGTGATGAGGCCCGATTCGAAGTTTGTGTTGGTGAAAGTCGCAGTAGAGTTATTCGCAAAAAAATGAAGCATTACATGTTGACTGTCTGAAGAGAAAAGTGAAATGTCCAGCATCCATTATGGTCTGGGACAGTATGTCATCAAAAGGAGTAGGAAAACTTCATTTTATTGATGGAAATGTCGATACAAACAAATATTTGGCAATTTTAGAAGAATGTTTGGCATCCGGCCAAGATTTTGTGTTTCAGCAAGATGGTGCAGCGTGCCATAACTCAAAAAATGCTATAAAATAGTTGGAAGAAAATAATGTACCACTTTTTAAATGGGTTTCTAGCAGTTCAGATCTGTCACCTATTGAAACTTTGTGGCAAGAGATGAAAAAGGTTCTACGACAACATCCTGCTCGTACAATCACCGAACTGAGACAAAAGCTTCAAGAAATATGGGATTGTTTTACACCAAATTTTTACCAAAACTTGGTTAACACTATGCCCCAAAGAATTTCAGCCGTAATAAAAAATAAAGGTGATGTTACCCAATGGTAATCTTTCAATTGTAGCTTTGTTAACTTCGCGCATTTATTCGCACATTTGTTCAGATGTTCTATTAGTTATAGGTCTAAGTGATTTCAAATATGTATTTTTTACGACTAGAGTGTATCTAAAATGTTTTTGAGAAAATAAATTGTTTTAGAAGTAAATAGTTTCGTCAAGTTTAGTTTATAGTGTGCCAACTGGGAAGGGGCTCGTATAAAGGGTTTTCAAAGTCGAGTCATTTATTTTAACACCTTGTAGAACTCGTCAAAAGAAATTGATATACCAAAAATCACCTACATCAATGTTACATAATAAGGGAGTTGCTTTACATTATTAAAAATTATTTAAAAAAAAATCAAGTTACATGGATACCGTTTTTTACAAAAACTGTTAAAAATTGTCCCCATTTGTTCGATTGACGCTAAATCTTGCTCGGCGAATCCACGACTCTTTACACAAGCTTCGAAAATAATATCCTGGCGTCCACGAATGAAATCACAAGTATTCTCAGTGCGCTGTTGAAGTTCTTCTAGAATATTTACTGCTCCATCATGATACACCAACTCTTTCAAATAGCCCCACAAATGGGTCCATTGCGCCCTATTCATCTATTCGGAAACTCATTATTTAGATGTTCATGAACTTCTCGTCTGAAAACCATACAATAACACAAAGAGTTTGCCAAATTTAGATAAACCATAAGGATTATAAACAAAAAACGCTCTGATTTTACACGGCAGTGGTCGAGATTATCAAAAAATCTCTGTAATAACGTTTTTATTTTTTAAAATTTTTAATCTTTTACTATTTCTTTTATTATGCAACTTTTATAGTAGGTAATTTTGGGAATATCAACTCCTTTTGACGAGACCTACAAGCAGTTAAAATAAATGACTCAACTTTGAAAACACCCTGTAAAATAAAAATACTGCAAAGTTCAGATAGTCATCAACAAACATGTTTGTTGCTTATTGTAAAGAAGCACAAATTTTACTATTTGCGGATTTATAAAAGTTTTTTGAGTCATCAATATTCGGCAGCTGTGCCGTCAAAATCTCTCAAAATATTTAACAATATACATTAAAGTGCACACATAGAAAATTAAGAATTATACATTTTCTAAATTGCTTCAATAAAAGTATGAATTATTGGATTTCTTCAGAGTCATCTGAACTTTCTCCCAAGCGAATGATTATATTAAACATTTGATGCTCGTTCCAGTCGTTTTTAATCAAGTCCTCGGTATGTTTCACATACTTGGCCCAAACTGTAGGAGTCACCTTCGCTAGAGCACCATCCCAAACTTTCAAAACTTCCTTGTTACCATAGCCATTTTCTCCAATACGACGATTATAGTACTGGCTATTCTCCAGACTAACTCAATAGGGTTGTATTGACAATGGTAAGGGTGGGAGCCGCAAAACTTGATGTCCAAGGCGTCATAGATTTAAAAGCTCGAGTTGAAAAGCGTCATCTTCCAAATGTATCTTTTTGTCTTGCGGCCATTGCTTCAAATGCATTTTACTCCAGCTGGAATTGGGCATTTTTTCTGTTCGGGCACTAGGATAAGAGGCGTTATCCATGATTACTAAAGACAAGCTTCTCACATACCCATTTTTTGAAAAGAATCTTTGTCCCTAAAATCGCGGTAGTTAGCACTTTTGGATTTTGTAGCAAATAACAATGCAGTATCTCTCAAAAAACCGTTTTTGGTCCCAGCATGGAGAACAACATACCGCTTCCCGATACCTTGATGGCCGTCTTTTAAACTCTTTACGTTTTTATCCTGCCAAACTCGGTTAAACGACCCATTGGCAAATATCCACGTTTCATCTAAGAAAACGCATTGGAGAGGGCTTGTACTATTCAGGTTATTCATATAATGTCTCATCAAATAGATACGTTTGGAAACAATGATTTTTCACACAAGATTCGGCAAGATCTTCTGTCTTGTAGGAAAAACCGCAAACTTTCCGTAGACGCCTTAAACTTGAATCCGAGCCGTTATATATGTACCTTTTTTTAAGCTCCTGATTGAGCGCAGACGTTGTGATATGTTGTCCTTTACTTCTCATATCGTAGAAAGTATTCCTAATTTACTGTTTTGACGGCATCACTTACTTCATCAGTCTTGCATTTTTTGATTTTGTGAGTTGCCCCAGGCGTTACTATGGGCAAACCTTTCTTATTTTCTGATTTTATTTGCTGAAAACTGCGCAGACTAATTTTTAGCTCATCTGCTGCCCTCTCCTCTCCTGGAAATTCTTTAATAAATTTTGCACGAGCTGTCGGCCTTCTCCATTGTTCTTTTTTTTTGGGCATTGTACAATTTTATATTGAAGGTTGATAACATGACAATTAGAATTGCACGCCGATGTCATGTAAATTCACTCTGACAAATATGATTGAGAGTCAAACGTAACGACAAAGTTTTCGAGACGGAGACACACAACTAAAAAACGTGTGTCTTTTAACTTACCGAACACACATTCACACACAGGGGTAGGTTGCATGTGTATGTATGAGGGAGATGGAGATATATACTAAGTGACATATAAATCCGAACACCCAGTTTAAATGGTTTTATTTTAATAAAATTTTGTATAAGTACTTAATGAAGCATAATAAGTAAATGATAAAAATTTCAAAATGATTGCACTGCTTTAAAGCCGTTTGGTGGTCAATGTCCTCCTGTGGTAGCTCATTCCAGGAAACCACCAACTCCTGTCGAAGTGCTTCTAGAGTCTGAGGAGGACGTTACAAATTGAGCAAACTCCTACCCATCATATCCCACACGTGCTCAATTTTGGATAAGTCGGGAGATCTTGGTGGCCATGGTAACAATGTGACATCATTATGTTGAAAGAAGTCTATTGTGACTCTTGCAACATGTGATCGGGCATTATCTTGTTGGAAAGTTGGATCTGCCAGGGTGTCAAGATAGGGTAAAAGATGGGGTTCTAGAACTTCGTGGATATAACGCTGCGCGTTCATGTTACCTCTGATGAAGATTAAAGGTGACCTGGAACCATACGCTATAGCACCCCAAACCATAACTCCAACAGTGTGATGAACATGTCTTTCAACAAAAAACTGTGGATTCCTCCTTTCACCACGTCGCCTTCTAACCCTGGCACGACCATCGTGCATGCCTAAACAAAATCGAAACTCGTCACTAAAGACAATACTGTTCCATTCCTGATCCCAGAGTGACCGTTGTCTGCACCACTCAAGGCGATTACGTCGGTGTTCTCGAGTTAAAGGGAGGACCCAGTGTGGCCGGTATGAAAACAAGCCAAAACTTCTCATTCGTCGGTAAACACTTCGCATGCCAATAAGTCTTCCGTGTTCTGCAAACCATTCATTTGCAATGGACCTGGTAGTGGAGAAACGGTCCCTTAAGGCCAATAATCTTAGGCGGCGATCTTCACGGTCTGTTGTTCTACGGCGGCGTCCAGTGCCTTTGCTCTTTGCGTACGGCCTTCTCGAAGCCATGCCTGACAACACCTAACTACAGTGTCTACACTTCTCTGCACTCTAACTGCAATTGCCCGAAAAGAAAGTCCAGCTTCCCGAAGTCCCACTATACGGCCCCTATCAAACTCATTAAGTTGACGAAATCGTACAGGTCTCCGTACTCTAGGCATCGTAACCAATCGTAAAGGATGTCAAGAACCAAAATCCGCCAATGTTGACTCTTTACTGCGGCTGAAATATTCATTTTTAGAGCGTTAGTGAATTAAAAAAAAGCAGTATAAAAACCGGAATGTCCAACTGATAAGGCTGAAAATTTTTTCACTTGTTATTTACAGTAAGATAAATACATTCACCAACTTTTATTAAAATAAAACCACTTAAACTGGGTGTTCGGATTTATATGTCACTTAGTATATAAAGGGATACTGGTAGCCTTACTTTGACCCGCCAAGGTTCAAAACGATTAGAGATTTTAGATCATTCAATCTATATTTGTTTCTATTAGACTTGCACTCTCCTAACTGGGGGAGTTTATATAAAGCAGAAAGCATTGATGACAAAGTTAAAATTTATGAATAATAACCTGTTGTTACTATTTGACAGTGATATGTTATTTATATGATGTATGCATGTTTGGTATCATTATACAGGGTTATCCAAATTAAGTGTCCACCATTAGTAACTTTGTTATTAGTGAAAATACAAAGTTGTTTGAATTAGCAAACTAGTAGCATTTTTAACGCTGGTAAAAATGAGAAATAAAAAAAACAATTGAGAGTCATTTTGATTTTTTTCAGTAAAATAACATTTTTTTAAATGGAAACCCCTGTATATTATATTTTTTTCTGTTAAAGCATCAAATTTTAAACAAAAAAGTTCATAATGACTTTTCCGCTAAAGTCAAAAATAAAGTCAAAATAACGATAAATATTTTTAATTATTTGCAGTATTATAATATTAAGACGGCTATGAAAACAACATGGCGTTCGCGATTTGACAGCATTAAGATAAGCGACAAATTGTTAAACTGGACATACTCGCAACTAGAAGGCTTTGGAAAACAATGATAAAATCAAATAATGTCAAACATTAGTGTAAATACTTGTTTATAAGCTTTATTGTGTCATTAATTTAAAGAAAAATGTTCTCCCATGAAGAAAAGTGTGATATGTTAGAATGCTATTTAGTGTGCAGAAAATCGTCCTTGAGAGCAAGAGAATACTACAGTGAATTATATCCCGCTCGCATTCAACCGTATGAACAATATTTTCTGAGACTTTATCGAAAATTTAGGGGCAACGAAAATGTTTTTGCTAAAACAAGGGCAAAAAAAGAATTCATAATAAGCGAGGCCACGGAAATTGCAGTTATTGGATATTTTGAAGCTTATCGTGAGAATTCAATAGCAGATATTCTCAAGGACTCTAATTTCTGTTATGGTACTGTTCAAAGGATTTTAAAAAAATACAAATTTATTCCGTATAAGTACCGACCAGTTCAAACGCTTTTGGCAGGGGATCCAGAGAGAAGACTTGTTTTTTGCCATTGGTATCTTAGCTTCTGTCGCCAAAATGTAAATAACTTTCGTTACCTTTTATGGACAGATGAATCGAATTTTTCAAATTCTGGAATGTTTAATAGAAAAAACCACCATTATTGGTCAAGAGAAAATCTTTTGTTAGTACATCCAAGAGGCCCACAAGTCCGTTTCAGTTTCAACGTTTGGTGCGGTATAATTGGTTCAAAAATTGTTGGCCCGTTCTTTTATGAGGGAACCCTAACTGGTGAAAGATATGTGGAATTTATGTCAGAAATTCTGACTAATTTCTTAGACGAATTGGATCTTATAAGTAGACATCATCTAAATTTTCAGCAAGATGGCGCACCTGCCCACAACTCCAGAGGTACTTATCATTTTCTAAGTACTACTTTTAATGATCAGTGGATAGGAACAAATGGCCCAATACAGTGGCCTCCCAGATCACCAGATCTAAACCCACTTGATTACTTCTTGTGGGGTTACTTAAAGAACCAAATTTACAAGCGAAGGTACGATAACCTTGACGCGTTAAAGACTGCAGTTAGGGAAAAGATAACCCAGATAGATGGTAGGACCATACTTAAGACAGTTCGAGCAGTTGAAAAACGTGCCCAAAAATGTATTGAAGAACAAGGTGGTGTTTTCGAGTATCTTCTTTAAAAAAAATTGTTATTGTATTTTGTAAGATTATAAGTTGATGTTGAAAATAAAGTTTGTCGATACAATTTAATTGTTTCAGATTGGAGGCCATAACTTCAACAATTTGTAACCTAGGAGAAAAGTTATTGTAAGCTTTTTTGTTTAAAATTTGATGCTTCAACAGAAAAAAAATTAATATACAGGGGTTTCCATTTAAAAAAATGTTATTTTACTGAAAAAAATCAAAATAACGACTCTCAATTGTTTTTTTTGTTTCTTATTTTTACCAGCGTTAAAAATGCTACTAGTTTGCTAATTCAAACAACTTTGTATTTTCACTAATAACAAAGTTACTAATGGTGGACACTTAATTTGGATAACCCTGTATATGTTTAACTGGAACCTCAGATAAGTTGCTTGACTTCGCCGATGTAAAAATAAAGGCCATTTATTTTATTATTATTATAAACAATAAGCGCTATTACGCGGTGTCCTAAAAATCAACAGCTCGATGCCCGTTTTATAAATTCCTATTACATGAATGAAAAATGATGATTGTGTCATGTCAGCTATTCTAAAAGAGAGTTCAGGTCTTTACCTGAGTTTTCAATGCGCACATTTCGTCAGTCTGCTCATTCTTCCGCTTAAGTTCTTCCATTTCCTCACTCAACTTCGTCACCTGCTGACCAAGTGTATCAACCTAAAACAAAAATAACCTTAATAATAATTTAGTCTCCAGGTTGTTATCAAACATAGAGCGCCCCGTCATATAGGTCGCGCAAAAATGTTTTTCCCAAACTGAATATGACACTAATGGCACTGAATATGTAGTCAATGTGTGTCCAGTGGTACAGTGCTTCAGTTAGCAAGCACTGAAAAGCACTCTATAGTGAAATGTTATGACTACCTGTTTCAGAGCGTCCGATTTATTCTGTTCAGCCAAAGTGAGCATAATCTGTGTGTTGGTCAGCTGTGTCTTAGTGTGCTCTAGTTCTTCATTCAACAAAGGATCGGCAGGCGTAATTTTCGACATCTGTTCGCGTAGACCGGCAAGTATTTGTCCAAGTTCAGTTTCGCGATCTCTCAGTTTTTCCTTTCCTTTAATTACCTCGAGCTGGCACTGTCCTACCTCCATCCTGGCGGCACACAACTCTCCCTGCAACTTCTGGATGAGTTCTTTATCTGGTTTTGAATCTGCTTCAAACCTAAAACCAAACAGTAACATTCATAAAAAACGGACCATGTACATAGAATTGTCTGATTTTCTCTAAGAACTGAAGATCACAAGGATTTTTGATGATGCATTAAATGAACTCGTAGTTTTGTGGAACTTTACAAAAACCGGAATTTAGAAGATTGGAGGCGAGTAGTAGGCAAGTTGAAAAATCAAACTTGCCTAGATTTGACTCAATTTTTTCCGACTACTTCCTAAAATGATTTGAAAACACAGAAAAACGAAATCTAGGCAACGAGGAACTATACCAAGTCTTTGAATTTTACCGGTCGCCTTCATTGAGGGGGGGTTATGTTTTCTTACCTCTCAATATCTTTCTGTAGATTAGCATATTCCTGCTTCAGTTTCTGGTTTTCACATTCCAAATCTTTGAGTTTCTTATTTGCCGCATCTAATTCGAATTCCTTGAGATTATTGTCACTTGTCTGGTTCAAGGCTTCATGTGACTGTTTCGAGTTCAGTGTTTCTTGTAGTTCTCTGATTGTTTCGTTTTTAGAGGCTACGACGTCTCTTTGCTTGTCTACTTCAAGCATCAGATTCTCCTTGTCTTTTTTTAACTGAAAAAAAAAAACGAATACATGTTCAAACAATTACTATTTCTGATACTGCTAAGAATAAGAAACGTTTTATATTTCTAAAGCAGTGGAATTGTGTTTATCACCTTTTCAATGCAAGCCTTCGCCTCAAAAATTTTATCCTTATGTGCTTGGTGCACTTTCTGTACCTCCTCTTGCCAAGCTACTATCCTATCATACTGAGATTTCATGCTCATATTATTTTGTTGTATGGTTTCTGAAAAAGGTTAGAAAATATCACATTAAATAAATTCTATTATTGTTATTAAAAATGTGTGCATTAAAAGTGATAAACACCTTTTAGCTTTATGTTTTCTTCAATAATCTGTGCGACTTTGTTCTGTACTTCCTCTGAAGATAAGTTACTTGTAATGCTAGCAATGCTAACCGGACTTCCTACATCCTGAAAATATAATAAACAATTTATCAACTTACAAACTTAAAAAAACACATTATTAGGGCAACAAATACAACGAAGTATGACTTACAAAAGTGCTTTCAACTTTTGGCATTTCAGGCAATACAGCAGATCTCTCCAATGCAGACCCAACACTTCCAATTGAATTCTGAAATTATAAAATACGTATTTTGTTAAATTAAACAAATTGTACAGTTATATTTCTACCAACGAATTCAGACTAGGTAGAAGGAGTCTGTCAAGGATTTGTTTATCTTCTGATTCGCATAGTGAGGATCAAAGTGCACTTGTGACAGTTCTGTCATTAAATCCGTATATTTAGTGTTATTTTTTAAATGTGCGAGTCTTTGCAGATAATTTAAAAGAAAACTACGCAAATTTGGCAACAAACAATGCAATATAAACGTATAGGCTTGGTTCTCCCTTAGACACAGATCAAATTTCTTCAGATTTTCTTAGCAACTTAGCCACATACCTATCGTTAATATTCTTTTTCTGGATGTAACGCATTAAACAAACGTGCAATGTTGCTATTTTGGTAAGACAGTTTTGTTATTTCTACCCTTTCATGAATTGAATAAGTCATTGTTCAATATTTATCACAACTAGGTAGATAACTTAACAATATGAAATGAGAGACAATGTTTTTCTATGACATATGATGACACTGACGGATGCTAAATGTTCTTGCTGGTATCCATGACTATTATATTTATGCTGTGCATTATTATCAGTATTAAGTTAGTCGATTTTTGTTATGAACTCAAATAGCTTCACAACCTTGAAGCTTGTGAATTTGCAGTGAAAACCATATAACTAGCTGTTGCAAGACGCTTGAATATTAAAAAAATAGCGAATATACACTGACCTAACACACTTTTCTCTTACTGGGTTTACATGCAGCCCACTTCCACGGCAGTGAGCGGAGAATTGGGCAGCGAGTACGTAAATCCGCCAGATCGCATTACAAATGCTCATGCCGCTGCCGCAGGCTTCCATCGTTTGCGGTTTTTTGGACGGAAGTCAAAGGACCAGCAGCACGAGCGGCAGCGACCGTTTACATGCTGCCCCGTGTACCAACAGTCAGTTTTGTACTTACCACGTGAACGCAGGGTATCTTAACTTAATTTATTGCTTTTTTGGCAAATTTTTCGTTTTAAAATACACTTGTACCATGATTGAGTGGAGCAATGATCAAGTATTGTAGTTTTGAGAGCTATATTACATAACACCACCACTGCGCTCCTGTCTATATCGGATAATATTTATAACGCGGGTGATCAAGGAAAGCTGTCGTGCTTAGTTCGTTAGAAACGCAAATATATCCTTAATATCGCTAATAGTAGTTTAAATTACCTATAGTAAATCACCGAGTTACTCGGCCGATTACCCGGGACTTGGTATTCGAATCTGGCTTTTTGCAAAAAAATAGTTCTCGGTACATCCTTAGGTTGGGCTATATCTGCCATAGTTACATATATTTCTAAAAAGATGTTGATCGTTTAGATCTCCATTAGTTCGACATTTAAAAATGTCTACACTAAAAAGTCGCTGCCGTGGTAACGAAGTTATGAACAAAAAATAAAAAGCCGTTTTTGAATGTTTTTTTTTTTTAGTGTAGTTATAAGTTATAACATATTTTGGATCACAGACCTATGGAAACCTTGGTACCAAAATTAGTGACAGTTCGCAATATTATACAGGGTGATTCACAAATCGTGACAAAAAATGCATCAGCATACACATGACCGCATTTCAAGGAGGGTCTTCTATGTAATATTTTTTCCCGAGGGTTTCATTAAGGGTATTAAGTATTAAAAATTAAAAACAATTTTTTTATATCTTCAAAACGGTCAACTGGAATGAACTAAACATTAGTATGTCCACATTCAAAAGTATTTACTTAAAATTAACGTGCACCAGATAATAATAGTACGCCACTGTATTTTTTCCGAAATGCGCAATTTTTTGAATTTTACCTTCAATTTGCTACAAATAATTATTCTTGTGTTTTTTTCCTAGAGTGCATTGTTTTCGTAAAAATAAAAAAAAATAGATAATCAAAGCTTCATTTCGATAAATGTTCAAAAAGACCACCATTCTGTCGGATACACTTGCGGCACCTTTTTAATAAATAAAACGTATTTCCGCAAAATTTGTTGCGACTTGAATTTAATGAAACGCATTATCTATTCTTTCTTGTAACTAATCAACAGTATTAATTTGTTCAGCAGTTGTTTAGAAGCGCCCCACGAAAAGGAATCCAGGGTGTTCAAATCAGGCCAATGTACGGGTCGGTTTCTTCCAATCCATCGTTGTCTAAAATGATTAACCATGCGGTTATGTCACGACGAACAGGCGGTGGGGCACCTGCATGTTCGTCGTGCTGATACCACATTCGTACTCTCGTTGCTAGCGGAACATCGTCTTACACATTTTTTAAGAAATTCTCTAGAAAAGCTAAGTATGAGTTTGCGTTTAAACGTTGTGGCAATACGTGCATAAACAGTTGGCCATTGAAAATGCCGCACCAGACATTTCTAGAAAATCTGTGTTGAAGCGAGTGAATTCTTACAGAACATTTTAAGACTTAAAGGTTCCACTCCTCGGAAAAAGCTATTCATCTGACCACAAAACCAAATCAATCAAATCTACATTTTGATTATGCATTTGCAGCAACCGGTTACAAAAATTTCGCCGTTACACTTCGTCGCCGGGTTGCAGACATTGCATATTTTGCCGATGGTAAGGATGTAAAACTTCCCAATTTAAAATTCTCCACGCAAGACTTTGGGAACATGGTAACTGGGCTGCAGTCCACCTAGTACCTGTACTAGAATCATCCAACTCCAAATTAATCACTTCCAGTTCCTCTTGAACCGTATACCGGACCCCATGACCTCTAACTACGGAGAGTTTGGCAATTCCATATTGCCAGAAATGAACGCGTAAAAACCTTTGGGGTTGGTTGGAGTTTGTTAGAAAATCTACGTTGATACTCTCGAGAAGCCGCTAACGCATTTCCATTACAGAACCCGTACACAAAAATAATATGGGCGTACTCATAATTGCTAAATTCCATTTCACAACACTCAAAAATGGAAAAAGAAACTTTTGACTTGAGTATTACAAAAAAATGGCATTAGTAAAGATAACCGTATAACATAACTTTGACAAAATATCTCCCAAGAAACGTCAAGCTGGTATCCAGGCCTCCTATTTTATTTCGAAACTAATAAACTGTATCTCGGCTCTTCATGAGTGATCTAATTTGTTTTAATTTTACGGAAACAGTGCACTCTGCGAAAGAAAAACAAGAGTAATTATTTGTAGCAAATTGCAAAATTGCGCGTTTCAAAAAAAAAAAACAATCACGTACTATTTTTATTTGGATAAAAAGTGCCACTAATCCCCTGTATCTCCAAGACTGCTGTACGTTAATTTTGAGTAAAGACTTTCGAATGTGGACAATAAGAATAGACAACACACTCACCAAACTTTCTTTCTTCTCTCTACTTGTCCCTGCAGTAGTATCAGCAGCGGCGATATTTTCACCCCTTTTGAGCAATCTGCCATCTGCCTCATCATGTTTCTGTTCATCTTTTTCTAAAGCGTTGATTTCACTGCTGATCCATTGCTTAGCTTCCCCTACCTAATAACATAGATTCAGGTAATCTCTCATTAGTCCAAGATCCTAGGTGCGTTAGACATACGCTATTTTGTGAAGGCTAGTTTTTAGGCAAGACTGGCGACGCTGGGGATAACTGTCGCGATGAGAACAATCCCTTCAGGAGCCCTTGACATTATTCCGAGACTGCCGCCGCTGTACTCCTACATAAAGCGGGAGGCCATGTAGAGAACCGGTGACTGGTCATTATAAGATCGTGGATATGACGGAGAGCAATCTCCCCATATCTTCGGTAAACATTGAAAGGGCCAAGAACTCAGTAAGATCAGACTATTTACTCATCATCCCTTCGAGGGAAGAATGGGTTAATGGAGAAATAACATTCCCGCCTCAGTGTCTTGTATGCTTCACCGATGGATCATTTTCCTAAGAAACGGGATATCCAGTGGGGGCGGAAATATATTTGGAAGGCATGCAGAGATATTTGCTATCTTAACGGCGGCATACTCAAGAGGAAATTCAACAGTGCACCGAGTGGAGCATAATCATGTGCTCCGACAGTCGAGCAGCCCTTGAAGACGGTGGCATCCCCGAGGATAAGGTCACCTTTAGCTCAGGAATGCACTTCTGCCCTTCAGAATTTAGCCCAATGTAAAGAAGTTACCCGGCTTTGGGTCCCCGGACACAGCGGAGTGCCGGGCAACGAGAAAGCTGATCGCCTGGCTAGGCTGGGAGCTAGAAGCACTTAGATAGGTCCCGAACCTAGGCTGGGCATATGCAGGAGCCAGGCCAACACAATCCTGAATGAATGAGTGTATATGGACCTGGAAAGAACATGGCGAAAGAGAGAGATGACTACAAACAGGTCAAGAAGTTCGTAGCGGGTCCCGACAAATGTCGGACGCGCTGGCTACTGGACACGGGGTAGAAAATTACTCAACATTTTGACGAGGGATTCCCACCGGCCACTGCAGACTGGACTGGCACTTATTCCTTTTAAAGCAGGGAAGAGGCTCAACTTCCCTCAAGTGCTGGAAGGAGGACGAAACTGACTTCCACTTTCTGGGGTAATTTGTTGGCGAAGCTGCTAAATTCAGCGGAATAGTCGGACATCCTAGCTTCATTAAGAGGTCAGGCATGTTTGACAGTTTAGTGAATTAATACGTGAAGTAGTGTTGGTACATTCGGGATCGGAAAGAAAGAGCCAAAGGTGGCCTACTTGTCTGGCTTCGCCTCCCCGCCACCACCACTACCCTTACTAGGATGTGAATAGCACAATATGTAATTCATAACTCATGCATATTTGCTAGTTTGGATTGCTCAATTTGAGGTTAGAACACATTTTACCTTTAAGCAGACATTTATATTGTATTACAAAACTAAATCGTTTAATATTCCGCATAGGACTCCGAATGTGAAATAGATATGTGATAACTTACAAGATTTGTGTAAATAGAAAAAGAAAAACCTTCCTTCCGGTTATTGCATTTTTTCAACCGAAAACCGGTTAACCGTACATTATGAAATACGACGTTTGTAAATAAGTGATCAGATTGGCAACGTCGTTCGATCTGGCAACAGGATTGGAGGGGAGACAGGAGAACATAGAACATGTGTTTCACCTTCAGTACAAGTCTGAACTCGCTTGAGTCATTTGGTTGTCCGTAGCGACTTTTGATGTAAAACAGTTTTTCGTATTGTGTTCTAAAAATGGATGACATCAATTTCGAGCAAAGGTGTGCCATCAGGTTTTGCTTCAGACTTGGGCACAGTCCAACGAAAACTCTTGCTAAACAGGCCTACGGAGATAGTGTTTTGTCAAGCGGCCATATTTTTCTGTCGTTTAAGGCATTTTTAGAAGGGAGAGAGTCGATTGAAGATGAACCACGAAGCAGAAGGCCTTCATCTTCAAGAACCGGTGAAAATATTGACAGAATCCGAGATCTTGGGCGTTCACAGAAATATCATAAACAAGCTTTAGGATAGTAAAAACATTTCTGTGGCTCCTCAGCCTCCTTATTAATAATAATAATCTTTATTGAAACTATACAATTGCATTCAGAAAAACAACAGTTGCATAAGGTGACGAAGTTTAGCAACATGCTACTCTTACACTTAACTACCCACGCAACAAAAAAGCATATGTTACACAAAAGTTTGCTACATGTACACAAAGGAAGTAAAGAAAACACAATTAACAATATAGACAAGAGCAACCTATTTAAACTATGGGTGCACGCAGATATGAGATTTGACAGCTTTCTTGAAGCAATTCAGGTACTTGTTTTTAAATTCAGGATTCAAAGCATTGTATAAAACTGCAGCACTGTATGTGCAGGAACACTGGAATAAAGCTGTAGAGTGAATAGGTGTAGTTATCAAATTTGGAAATCTAATATGTCTATCATGTATATTGCGCCTATAGATCAGCTTTTCTCTTAAGTATATCGGTTTTGACATAGGTATTATTTTATGAATGAATACAAGGTAATGATATTTGACAATATTTTTTGTTTTCATCCAGTTTAATTCAATAAGACCACCAAAGTGACTTGAATCCTTGTGATTTTAATCTCTCCCCGAAGTTGAAAAATCACAAGGGGAGATTTTGGGACAGTCAAAAACATTCAGATGGCTGTAACCAACCAGCTGAAGGCTATTCCACTATTGGAGTTCCAGCACTGCTATGAGGAGTGGAAGAACCATCTCCAGCGCTGTGTGGCTTCAGAAGGAAGTTATCTTGACGGTGACAATATATAATTGTGATTAAATTTGAATAAGGAAATTAAAAAAAAAATCAGTTTAATCACCTAATTTACGGACCTCGAAACCGGTTAAAACTACTAAATCAATTTAGAAAACCGGTAATCCAATTAACCGGTTATTTTTGCCCATCCATATCACTTACCACTTCAGTGCCCACCACACTGGGTCGTTCATCGCTTGAAGATAAATCATCAGGTATCAAAGATTGTCCCAAAACCACGAAAGATTCTTCATCTGAGGAGCTCAGAGAATGCATAGTGTGGGAGCCAGCTGATATCACTGGGTGGCCTTCAGAAAACATCTTTTATATTTTTTTCAAGGACTGCCTACTGGAAATAATAATGGAATGATTGAAATATTATAAAACGTTTTTTATTATTCTGCTCAATTTGGTTATCTCAAATGTTATAACGCATAATTCCATTAATCACTTAGTCCCCTGAATCTCGCTTTGAACGAATAAATATTTCTCCAGGAGCAAAATTCCCGATTCGTACATATTCCCTTAAACAATAATGCATCATGCTTGTGAAATTGCGCCATTGCTGTGGAAAACCTTTTATGTGACAAACAGTTAAATTTTCAGGAGACACAGAAATACTTTTAATACATTTTATCAAGTAGGAGATTTTTCCACAGAACTATTATACCAGTTTTTACAGCAACAGTCAATATGATGGTATACCTCATTTGTGTGTTACCACTGGATGGTTTTATGCACATAGGATATTTTGCACAAAAGTTTCTATGTATGTTTTTATAGGACGTCTGTCAGAACACAATATTTTGTGCATAATTTTGTACGAAATTTTGTGAGAAAATGCGTTACTGAATTTAGTTCCCAATTTGTTTACAAATTACAATCCTGTCTGTAAGGTACAGAAATTTTAAACGAATAGAAAATTGCAGAAAATGAAGCGATTCCGTAATTCGCATATGTTATATGCGACTGCGGGACCAGCGATCTCCATTGTGGCTGCCCACCTCATGAGTAGTAAACGAAACCGTAAAAACGGTGTCGAAAATTGATCAGAAAAAGGGACCGAAAATGGGTGTGTTCCAGAGGCTGAATATTAAACAATCATTTTTCTCATGATATTATTTAGTACAGGTTCTAAAAAATTTAGCAGTCATACAAAATTATGTACTAAATGTCTGACATTATCCTTAATTTTGTACGAAATTTAGCATAAAATTTCGTATCGTGGCATACTGCCTGAACGACTGCTATCAGAACCTTAATTTTGCAAAAACTGCACATAAGAAGTTTTTTCCATGGCAACGACGATAAAATTTCCGCTACACTACATAAGTTAACAAGTCAGCGCATACCATACAATAACTAACTCGCACATTAAAATGACATAAATTCAATGGGAATCGGCACCTTTCAGTATAACTTTTATGTAAAAACCAAATACAAGCTAAGGTTGTGTTGAACTGTTGCGAATCGCTATGCGACTGGTATTATTAAAATTTGAATGGGTGCCATAAAAGTCGGTTGCAACAAAACAAAAATGATATATTATTTATAATTGCATTATACTGAAGTGAAGTACATTCATAACAGTTTATTAATGGAAGACCAATGGTTCATAATACCAACAGTCTGTTGATTCGTTTGCAACAAAATGCTTTGAAACTTTTTTCAATTAATTGGAAATCATTAGACGGTTTACCCTTTGACTGTCGATTTCTAAAGTATCTTGAAAAAGTTGGTCTGGCACATAAAGCCAAGATAATGCATGCAGGGAAGTAATTTACAGTATAGTTTAATAATCTATGAAAAATCCATTCTACTTCCCTTTCCAATTTGAGAATAGGTATACTTGAACGTTTGCAAATATGTTTTACTTAACTACTAATGATGATATGTTCACTTTGAGGAGCATACCTTATCAATTAAAAAAAAGAATATAATATATAGTACATTCAAGAGTTTAAAGATAGAACACTAAATAATATAAGGAATGATATATTTTCAAAAACATTTTTTTTTTACTTTTGACCTGAAAAGTGGAACAGATAAGTCCATAAAGCTGGCAGGGAGCATATTATAGCGATAGCGTGCAACAAACGAGAAACTCTTAGTAAATAGGGTGGTTCTATGATATGGCGTGTTAAGGGTGTAGCCACGAATCGGAGGTTGGCTGCATATGGTGGTGACTTCTCAAGGATAATTCATTATTTAAATATATAGGGTATTTGGTCAGTAAAATGCTATGAACCAAGCATAAAATGTGAACCAACCACCTCTGCCTCATCGTCAACCAATTAGAATATCTAATACAGCTGTTCTGCACTTTCTGAAGTCTGTAAGCTTCGGCTTGAGTCAAACAAGGACCAAACACGGAACTTTCATATTCTATCTTACTTAAAATGACTGAATCGCAAAGCTTAATTTTAGTATCTTGAGACAACACGTGCTTAAAGCTGTAGATGCTTTTTAATTTAGCAAAAGAGCTCTGTACAACCTTAGAAATATGATCATGAAAATTTAAGTGCTCATCACAAATTATTCCTACGTTTAATACCAATATTTTGTGTGTGAGCTCTTCACTATTGAGGCACAGCTTTATAGCATATCCACTGAACTCGTTCTTCTTAGAGCGGAAGGTAATTATGGCCGATTTGCTACAGTTTATGTGTAAACCGTGGTATCTAAACCAATCGCAAACGCCGCTTAAATCAACTGCTAGTTGTTCATTAGCATCAACGTATGAGGAGGGATTATAAGATAGATAAAGCTGGGTATCATCAGCATAAGAATGTAAGGCGCAATGTTTGACCAACCGATCCAAGTCCGACACGTATAAAGTAAATAACATTGGTCCTAAAATTGAACCTTGCGGCACCCCCTTTACAATGACCCGTTTGTCAGAATAGTCACTGGCTATTTTAACTTGTTGAAGTCGATCTGATAGGTAATTGTCAAACCAAGCAATCGAGTTCTCAGAAAAACCAAGAAAGTGCAACTTAGCTAATAACATTTTGTGGTTTAAACAGTCAAATGCCTTTCTCAAATTCAGCAGAACAGTTGTAGTTACGCAGGAATTATCTATAGCTCTCAAGTAGTCATCACAAATGTCAACTAATGCAGTCACAGTACTATGATTTTTTCTAAATCCCGACTGAGTATTTGGAATTAAGCTGTATTTATTGATGTGTGTTAGCATTTGCTCGTAAACGATCTTTTCTAGATTTTTTTACAAGAGTGAAAGAATGCTTATAGGCCTGAAATCGCAAGGCAATTGAGGATTATCGATTTTACCAACGGGAATAACAGTTGCAGCTTTGCATATGAGCGGTACGATACCATGTTCCAAAGAAACGTTTATAATATGAGTAAGAACCTTGAGACAAAAAGGAAGAATATAGGAAAATGTATCTTTATTTAATCCATCTAGTCCGGTAGCACGCGATTTTATTTTTTGAAATGTCTTCTAGACTTTTTTCTCGGTAACAAACTTAAACTGAAGTAGGTCGTTGATATTTGGTAGCATATTGGTGTTATAGTACTCTAAGAGTGTTTCATTTATTGAGTTATTATTAACTGAATCAACAAAACAGTACTGCGATCAAGGTCAGGAATAATAAGTATTATGTATCCATTTGTAAGCAATCTTAAGATAAAGAAAAGATAAAGACTTTAGTTTCATAGGCCTCAAAGTCCAAGTCATTTACAATCTATACAAATAAATATATGCTTATTTGTACGTACGTGAGTTTTTCAGTGAACTCCACTCGATGTTAATTTTTCAATCCAACAATATAATACAATACATGAGACTCTAGCTACTTATCACGATTGCTCATTGTACTAAAAATACACAGCACACGCGCCGCGTTCAAAAACTCAATTCGGGGAAGTACCGAGATATCGCTAGGCTAAGTCCACAATCCTCTCTACGTCGCGATATCGGTATGTGTATTTGAATATTCTTGATTATTGCAAGTATCTTTAGATGAGTTAATGAAGCTCCAGGCAAACATTTTTTTATAAATGTGACGACTTCTTCAACATGGTAAATTGGAAAAATGTTAGAAGTGCCTTTGACAGGTACAGTCTCGCACCTAGATTCATTGGACGCTATGGCGGAAGGTCACGGCTACCTCTTGATCCAAATCAAATTTTGGAAGTATTACTACTACTAGCGCACGACCATTGCCAATGACGAATACAGCCTCGAGATGGGGTAAAATCCCTAAATAAGAGATTGGGATGAAGAACTTTCTACCTCCATTTTTACGGTTTAGTATGATTACTATGCTATTACTTAAAATTAGATTATTAAGATGCCTTCAATGTTTTAGGCTTAACGGCCGTATCGTCAGTCGTCCTACAATTATTGTAGGACGCCTTTATGGCCTCCTTAATTTTCATAGTTTTCTACTGCTCCGTGTCACCGCTCTATTTTGAGGTTATGTTACAAATATCTATTTACATCAAATTCTACTTGCTTTTGGTTTATATCAACTGTTATATCGGCCTGAAATGTCTTGCAATTCAAAAAGAAAATATAGCCACGCAATAGGAGATAGGAGAGCGCTGACGCTGACACAGAATAGTAGAAATCTAGAAATACCCCAGTCTTTCTGAAGTGAAGGAGAGAGAATATTATGAAAATGAAGGAGGCCATACAGGCGTCCTACAATAAATTATTGTAGAACGACTGACGATACGGCCCTAAGGGTACGTTTATGTTGGAGCTTCGATAAACCATCAGAGCGGCGATAAGAGCAGCGACAAAATTAACGCAAAATGTATTTCTTGATATGAATTTTATAGTAGAGCTCCGATAGTGGCGACGATACCTGCTTTTTGAAAATTAAAGTATTGTACATAGATCCCACCTAACTGCATTTTTTATTAAAATGAGTGTTCCTGAAGAAGAAATACTTTTGTCGTTAAGTGCTGTTGAGTACTATATTTTAAAAAGGACATATAGAAAGCGAAAATTCTCTGCACATCCTATAAATACCCAGATACAAGTTTGGAGAATTCGATAAAATTTGCCATATTAAACTGTCTATATCCATACTTCAACCACTTGTGATAAAAGCGAAGAAACTAGACGAAACAATTGTCGACGCTGTTGACTGTTGCTTTGGTTCCAAGCGTGTCTCAACTCGTTGCTCCACTATAAACGCCTGCATATAAAACTACGAAATAATTGTCTCTGCTTCGCTAGTATCGTCACTTTTATCGTTTATCGAAGCTCCAACATAAACGCACCCTATGAACCAAAGACATGCGAGTCATTAAGCATCAGGAAGTTCGAAGTTAAATGCAATATATATATATATATATATATATATATATATATATATAGTATGGCAATCCACAATAATTCTGTAACCCCCCCCAACAGATTCCTAAATCCACCCTTTTACCATATATTTATTTAATCTGGTAGAAAATGATTTTATTGCTATTGGTCTTGACACGTCAAAGGAAATACTGAGGGTTGCTCTCTAGAAGGAATCACGTAAGTTGACTCTGTAATTTCTATATAATTTTCGACAAATCAACTTTGTAGAAGCGTCATGTAACTTTTTACAACTTTTAAACATACGACAATTTATATTCAATAAGTTAAATTGTCCTGGTATTCGCAATTGTTACATCGCTGGCGTCGTTTACAGGTAACAAATGCGTCGCGTGGATATTCATCCGGCAGCGGATTGCGGCAGTTTATAAGTATAAAAAACATTTCTATAGTTGTAGTCACCATTTTTGGCGGTTACGTCATCAAAGCCATATGAAATAAGTAAACAGATCGAGTCTCCTTACCATGGGCGGATCTTAATTTTCCTAACTGATAACAAAATAATTTTCCTAACCGCTGTTTTTGTTCTCTTCCTGGAAATACTCTAATAAATTTAGCACGAACTGTCGGCCTTCTCCATTGAACGTATTTCCAGGCATTGTATAATTTTATATTGAAGACTGATAATAGGACAACTCTAATTGCACGCCGCTGTCAAGTAAGTTGTCACTCTGACAAATATGATTGAAGGGCACTCATATATAACGACAAAGTTTTCAAGATGGAGACACACAACTAAAAAAACGTATGTCTTTGAACTTATCGAACGTTCACACACAGGGGTAGCTTGCATGTGTTTATATGAGGGAGATGGAGATATACACCATGTTAATAAAGTATGTGGACAAACTTTAACCATCGAATCCTTAGTCAATTTGAAGACTAAATGTTCATATGAACATGGGTCTGCAACAGCTTTCTTCTCAAGCTAGAGCACTATCACTAAAGAAGAACGAGTAGTGTTCCAAATATTTCTATGAATAATGAAACATATTTATTGAACAGTTGGTATTATGCACATACTCTAAAATTTAATTTGATATGAGATCAAACTAAGCAAACTAGACATTATGTAGTAGTAATAGTAATGCTTAGATACACTTCGATATAGTAATGTTTGACTTAAGCTATACCTCATATGTCATCATATGATTACAGCATATCTAGAAAAGCAGACACAGTTTGGCAACAATGCCAAACAATTCTAGAAATACCAACAAAGCTTTTTACACAAACCAGCTGACTTTTGTATTGACTTAAAAAGATAATAAACAGTGATAGCATGTTTCAAGAGCTGATATACCTGTTTAATATTGCATATATAAACTGTTAAACGTGTAAGCAGAAAGTCAAAAGTCCAATTTAAAAGTGAATCATAACATATAATGGAAACAGTAGTAGCATTTGGCAATCCCTTATTAGACACAACAGTTCAAATAAATGATAATGCCATACTGAGAAAGTATGGCCTTGTAGAAGGACTGGCAAAGGAAGTATCAGAAAAAGAGATGAATGATTTGTTAAACAGTACATCTAGGTAATAAAGTAAAAATATAGATTATAGAGATAAATATACGATTTATTTTGTTTTTCCAGTTTTGAGAAATTTAGAAGTCCAGGTGGTTGTAGTCAGAATACTTTAAGGGTATTACAATGGGTATTAAATAAGCAATGTGAAGCAATCATATTTGGTTCTGTTGGTAAAGATGAAGAGTCTGAAGAATTAAAAATATTGATGAACAAATCTGGTGTACAGACAAGGTATCAACACAATTTATAATTTCAAGTCCTTTCCAACAAACTTCTGACCATTTATAGTGGGCCAAATCAAAGTAGGTCATTGATATGTAAGAGGAACAGTGTCAGAGAGAAATCCTTTTCTTAGGGACAGTCTCTGATCATCAATAAATCTTTATTGGAAATACCATATATTTCTTTTTTTTTATTATATAATAAATCATTCTAGGTATGTACAACAAAACTTGCCAACAGGAAAAACCCTAGCATTGGTGAAAAACAAAATCAGCACTTTAGTTGCTTGTGTAGGAGCAGCAGAATACCTACCTTTAAGTGACTTGCTATCACTAGAAGATATTAATTCAATTATGGAAAGAGCAAGTTATGTTTATATTGAAGGATTTTTTCTTACAAAAAGAGCTGAAACTGCAAACTATATACTGAACCTTAGTATGAAACATGGAAAACCAGTACTATTTAACTTAAGTGGAAAGTATATCATAGACATTCATCCAGTTATTATACAGCACTTTGCAAAGAGCTCTAATTATTTGTTTGGTACTCTGGAAGAATTTGAAGCACTGTGGAAGTCTATGGGGTTGCAAACCATGCAAGCATTTATTAATTCTATTATGAAACACAGGAACGAGAAATCTGTGGTTATAACAAATGGAGGCAATCCAGGTTATTTTGTAGAAAATAGTTCAGAAATAAAGAGGTTTGAGGTTTTGAAGATCAAAGATGACGATATCCGAGATACTACAGGAACGGGAGATGCTTTTGTAGGTGGATTCATCGCAGCACTCATATGTAAAAAAACATCCATCACTGAATGCATCAAAACAGGAACCTATGCAGCTTGCCAAATATTACAACAGACAGGTTGCACATTACCAAACTTCGAATGTAATGCTTTAAAATAGAAATAAACATAAATAATCATCGTGCTATTATTATTGTGTACTTTATCAAGTAGATTATTTTTATAGACAATTGTCGGATGAATCATCTTGCAGAATACGATTAAAAACTATAACGAACTCTGAATAATTTCATGTGTGATTTATACTTACCGCGGCAGAAGGATCAACTGTATCGAATGACTGGAGACGGGAATCTAGAATTTATTTTTCAAATCAAGTACTTGTGGTAGAAGAAATCACAACGCCATATATAACAATAACAATGGTGAACGATTAGCGTCACGTTAGCGTAAGCTTTAGCTGCATCAGTGATGCCACCGGCCAGTAAAGGAATTATGGTACGATGTTGCCAGAATTATCAATTTTTCTTCAAAATTATGTTACAAATAGTGTTCCTTTAAGACAAAAAATACACATAATTAATATAGGTTATTTAATGTAAAAATCTCATAAAAAAAATTGAGCATTTGGGAAAATCAAACAAACTCTCGAAAAATACTACAACATATACCTAACTCGAAAACATAAAAAACATTATTCAGGTTCAAAATGAATATCAACAGTTTCATTTTCATCTTGAGCGACATGTTTATAGGACGTTATTCTATTAATCATATTTTGAGTAACATTAAACTTATAACATTCACGATGTACACTTTGAGATGCCAATAAAAGTGAATTTACTGTATCACTGTACAAGCGATTTCGGACATCTGTTTTGATTAAATTTACTTTTGAAAACATTCTTTCGCATACGGCATTTGAATGAGGAATTACTAATAAATCTAATACAAAATTTCCCAATTCTTTAAATACGTAAACATCAGACATGTCGTGAATTAGGGAGATTTTGTACCAGTATTTATCGATTGATGTTTCATCCTTTATTTCATCACTGAAATTTGGTTCTGACTGGCAATACATCCGCCACTGATCATCAATTTTTTGTATTTGTTCAATATCTTGAGGATCTACAATTCTGGGTAGTAACTTAATTAATGGAAAAAGCGATGCTGGTTTTGGTTTAGAATACCCTTTTTCAAATACTGATATTTTTGACAAAATATTTTCATTAAAATCAAACCGTTTTTTCATTTCATTTGCAGAAGTTATTAAAAATTGACGGCACCGCATGTAGAAATCTTCTTTTTCCTTTTGATTTAATTTATCAATGTTCTGAAGTACGCGAACACCAAGGTATATCTGTTTCAAGTCAATGAACTGACTAGCATTGTTGGGATCGATTTTACCTATTTCGGTTTTATGAATATAATTTGGTTGTAAATAGCTTAAACAAATTTCTTTATAAGTTTCACAAACTACATCATAAACGTGTGCAATTATGACACGCTCACTTTGAAAGTATTCATTTAATTTTACAAATTTTGGTAAAATCCAATGAAGAAAAAAGAAAAAAGATTTGTTTCCATATCATTATGTCTATTGGCAACAACTTCTGAAGCTTGCAGTCTATGTTCGGTCCATTCTTTAACAAAATATAATTGAAGGGGATTCCATTGCTCAATTACCCTTTCCACTACCATAAGTAATGAAAGCCACCTAGTTTGTGAAGGACGTAAAATTTTGTGAGGCTCCACATTACAAAATGTCTGAAATTCTGTAAATTGTGCTTGCCGTTTGGAGCTATTTTTAAAGTAACCAAAAATATTCCTGGCTAAATCTTCACAATGACGGGGCAAAACTTTACAAGCCTCACTGGCACAAAGATGTAAAGAGTGGCAGATGCATTTTTGAACTATAATGCCAGGAAGATTTAGTTTTAACCTACTTACTACTGAGTTATTGGCACCAAGCATAGTGTTACAACCATCAGAACCAAATCCTATAATATTTTGGAAAGGTATATTGTTAGACTCAAATAAATCCATAATTTTTTTATAAAGAACTTCTGCAGTCGCCCCTGTATTTGCTTCATCTGGATTTTGATTTGAAAAACATTGAACCAAATTTAAAAATTTTGTAGATACCTCATTTGTTTTTTCACTAAAGTACCTAACACATACACATATATTTTTTACTACACCTATGTCTGTAGATTTATCTACTAAAATGCTAAACTTTTTTGCTTTTAGTTCATCGATTAGTTCTTCAAAATGAGATTTGGTTAAAACATGTTTTATAACACCTGTTGCTTTGGTTCTTCCCATCTGCATTCCTTGGGCAATTTTCGAGTCAGGAAATATGTCTTTTAATAAAGGAATCAGATGATCACACAGCTTGATGGGTAGATTATGCTCTGATATTAATGCAGCAATTTTTATTTCTGCCCTACTCACTTGACCACTAGCTTCGTTTTTATTAGAAAACATAGTAGAAATTTTTGGTTGATTTTTCACAATCACCTTTACATTTTTTAAATGTTTAGCTCACTTACTGTGATTTTTCAATACAGTTAAATCTGCTTGAATTTCACTATCACAAGCAATACATTTTGCTCGAGTGGGTTTTTCTAAAAACAAAAATGCATATCATTAAAAGTATAAAATGGTTTTATGTTATTTTTTCTACCTTTAACAGCTTTCAACCATCCTTTGAAATGAGGATTGCTTTCATATTCACATCTATATTTTTGTGGTCTATTTTCTCGTCTGTTTACGTTTTTAAACTTTAATCCTTTTGCCTCCCTTTCTGAATCCGAAGAATCGGAGTAATCATGATGATCCCCTTTGCTGGTACTGGCCATTTTATTTCACTATTTGATCACATCAACACACATTAATAAGGACTCATTCGATCAACTACTCTTGCTCGTATTGAAAAAGAAACAATGAGGATTAGGGTATTCCCCTGCGTAGGCTCAAATTCACCGAGACTCGAGTTCCGTAATATTTACATAGATGGCGGTAGGCTTGATTTTTATTCTAATTCCATAATAACCATGCTATTAACTGAAAGAGGTCAGCACTAATAATTATTATCCTTTTTGTTACGTTGCTTTGGTTGCATACAATTAGAACCAATAATTTTGAAAACATAGTTATAGGCTGGGAGTTGGAAAAATAATATGTTACAATTATCGATTATGTTACATCTTTTTATTTACTGTATATTTCAGTAGAAAATATGGTACAATTTGATAATTATGTTACAAGTGGCAACACTGAGCTGCATCAAAATATGTCAAAATCATGTGTGATCAGCAAGGTAACCAACATCAAAAAATAAAATATCACTTGTACAACTTTCACCGAACCGCCCAATCTGAACCTCAGCGTTGCCGAAAGATTATTGTCTTTCACCATTGGTTAGATTTGCTCTTATCTTTATATAATTATGCGGAATTAATAAACAGAAAATGTTTATAAGTGTAGGCTTTATTTCTGATGGTCCTAGAAGGAGGATTAACTATGGTGACTTGGAAATAATTAGCGAAAACATCAAAATAGTTTTATTTTGAGAAGATATCGACTATCCCCTATATCCAGCTACAGATTTGTGATGGAGCGTGTCCATGGATGGAGATGTTTTGTGGATCGAGTGGTTGTGGTATCCCGTTTTCGTTGTGTCTGTGCGTAATGACAGTTTATGGTTGGAAGAAAATTCAAAGCTAGAACCAAAATATGCGCGATTTCATATATTTTTTTTAAACATTGTGTAGGGTTTTGCCAATGAAACTATGACGAATAGTAGGTATTTCTTATTATTCACCATTACAAATAATGAATAATGTTATTTTGTAGTTGTAATAGGAATTGGGGCAATAATTCTACCTCTAGTAGCAAGAATAGTATACCTATGCTACAGAAATATTAAAGGTTGTAACAAACTGTCTACAAAACGTGAAAATCCTTGTAAAACAATCATATGCATTGGCTCTGGAGGCCACACAACAGAGATGTTAAAATTACTACAAAACCTTGATTTTAAAAAGTACACCCCTCGATATTACTTCATGGCAAGTTGTGATAGCACCAGTTTGAGCAAAATAAAAGAACTTGAAGAAAGGGAAAGAAAAAGTAAACAAGGTGAATATCATATTTCCATGATACCACGGAGTAGGGTTGTAAACCAGTCCTACACAACTGCAGTGTTTAGCACAATATATTCAATACTGTACAGTGTTCCATTAGTGTTTAAGATAGTTCCAGACTTGATATTGTGTAATGGACCAGGCACTTGTATTCCAATATGTGGCATAGGTTTTGTATTGAAAACATTTTTCATTAAAGATGTGAAAATAGTGTTTGTGGAAAGTTTTTGTAGAACTAGGAAATTGTCTCTTAGTGGGAAAATCTTACTGTATTTAGCCGATATTTTTATTGTTCAATGGTTAACTTTAAAAAAGAATGTTAAAAGGGCTGATTATATAGGCCAATTGATGTGATTTCTGCTGTTTCCTATAGTACTCCTGAAATTAAAATAGACGGTCACACTTTTGGAAATATTTTTTTACTGTAATTTTCATTTCACTTGTGGATTTTATGAAATAATTTATTATATATATTTAATATGTGTACTGCAGCTTGTAACACAGAATTGCTCTATAAAAAAAATGATTATGGAACTTTGCATAAAAATTGTACAATAAAAGAATAATGTGTGCATGAACGATCTAATAAAAACTGAATCTAAACAATATCTGATACCTAAAACCCTGATTCCTTTTTTAAAATATGTTCAATGCTGAACTTTTTTAGAAATCATATATTATTTATGAAATCTCTTTAATTAGGATGTTTTAAATGTTGAATAATTTTAAAAAGTTCAGGTTCAGAAGTGACTGTGATTGTAACATACATGTTACAGTAAAAAAATAGGACAAGTTAGGAGTAAAGTCATTGGTATACTTATTATAATTTTATAAATGTCTTTTACACTTTTTGTTTCAATATGAATTACAATTTTATACACACATGATTACACAACTAGAAACCATATTTAGCTCTTGACATCATTCTGTTATTCTTGCTAGAAGCCCAACTATTCTGTAACTCCTGCTCGTTAGCTTTTGCTTGTTGTGCAAGATATGTAATGTGGTGTTTCCTTCTTCTTGTGGGATCCACAGGATTCTCAGCTTCTTTTTTAGGCTCCATTTCTGGATCTGTTAATGCTTTAGTCATCCATAGTTCCCTTTCAGGAAGTACATCCTCTTCATTGATGTCAATCAGTTTTATATTGCCAATTGGTCGTTTAGTCCTGCCCACGAGTTCCTTAAAGGCCTTGTTGTCCAATCCATCATAAGGCTTTTCAGGTTCAGGAGCGATATTTACAGGTTCAACAAACATTGGTTGTTCTGGCCCATTATGTTCTATAATGGCAGATGTTGGCTTTGAACGTCCACATACTTTTTGCCACATTTCATCATCAAATGTTTCTGGTATCTCTACATCATCTTCATCATCATCATCACTTTCTTGACTACCAGGCAGTGATTTGCCTTGCAGCTTATGCATGAGTTGTGTTTTTTTAACTTCAGCATGCGTTCGAATTACATGAGGTATCATGGTGGAGCTCGATGTAGATGATTTATCATTTGCTCTTGTTTGTTTTGTTTTATTAGCAACAACATTTGGAACAAAGCTCTTTGTTGATAAAACTGAACTTTTAACTGGGGGCAGGAGAGACATAAGACCACTTCCTTTGGATGAAGGCTTTGCTTTTTTAGCAACTGGTTCATCATCCTCAATATCTGCCAATTCAGATAAAGATGGTATTAATATTTTCACTTTCTCTTTTACCTTTGGAGGCTTTGGTCTGGGTATGAAGTCCTCAATTTGGTCTTCTTCAATGACACCTATAGACCGCTTAGTTTCTGGTAATTTGACAAATAAACTACTTTCCACTACGGGTTCTGTTGTACTGTTTTCACTGATGGAAATTGTAGTTGGCGCAGAGTCCTTATTTGTTGTAATTTCAACTACGTTGTTACTGACTTCACCGTGATTTTCTTTGTTTGTTTGGTTGTGTTTTAATGCTGAAACTTGAGGATTTTTGTTGATTTCAACACAAGAAGCGCCAGTTTCTTCATCAGCTTCCTCCTCATTCTCATTGTCGCTATAATCGTAAGCTACAAGGGCCATTTTTTTTTCATTATCCAAGTCCAAGACAACTACGTAACATAACCTTCTTATCATGCATGGATTTGACCCAGGCTGACCCTCGATTTCAACAAAATACGAAATTCACTAGTTGGTCCCATCACAGGTCGTACGGTAGATAAAAAATTAATAGAGTCCAGGCCTTAGGTGATTGCTGCTACTTTGCAGGAATTATAATCGGTTTTTGAAATCAGTGTTGAAAATGTTAAAGGTAAATTATATTCTTAATATGACCAAGATATGTTTGCCATCTGACCACGTTTTGCATGTCGCGTGCTTTACTTGTTCCATTGACGATTTCACATTTTTTGATAATTTTTATAATTCCAACATATTTTTTTATAGGTAGTACATATGTTTTTATTAGTTTCTTGAAAATTTCCTAAACCTTTTTTATTTATAGTTGATGGAAATTATAACTTACGGGATAATTTTTGACATTTTAGAATTGTTCCATTGTACTCAATTTCAGGGCGGTGTAAGTTTGGTCACCGGCGGCGCATCTGGGCTGGGCAAAGCGACTGTCGAACGATTAGTGCTACAAGGCAGTAAAGTTGTTTTATGTGACCTACCAACTTCAAATGGCAGCGAAGTAGCTAAATCCCTTGGAGAAGACGTCATATTTGCCCCAGTAAACGTAACGTCAGAAGATGATGTAACAAATGCACTGAATGTTACAAAACAAAAATTTGGAAAGTTGAACAATGTTGTTAACTGTGCTGGCATAGCTGTGGCGTTTAAGACATATAATTTCAGGAAAAAAGTTCCTCATAGCTTAGAAGATTTCTCAAAAGTCTTGATGGTAAGATTTCAGAGGGTATATGTCCTATATAATTAATAGCAGGATATGTTGCCAGTATGGTCACACTTATCTATATCCTATGTTCAAGAGTGAAGCTGTATCAACTTGTTTCAAAAACAATATCAGGTGTTCTAAAAGTTAAAGATTTCATTTTTTGAAGCAATTACGTTTGAAATAAGAAAGCTAGTGTGCCATGCCTAACATGTAATGAGAGCGAAAAATTGAAGAACGTATACCAACAGTCCATCAAAAATAAAGATTGCAGTATCACATTCATATAATATGTATCTTATAGATAGTAACAATAATCTTTATTTGCAAATACAAATGCTATACAACAGCTGTAAACCACTTGTGATACAAATTGTGTCAACCAAACAAAATTAAGGATAAAATCTTGCTTTAAAGAATATTATTCGAATCTGTGTTGAAAAAGTCAACGATTGTATATAGTTCTAGATTTAGTAATACTTTATATATTTTTATAAATGCAAGTTTTACAATCTTTTTCACAACTGCTGGTAAATGATTAAACAGTTTTAGACAATTATACAGAGATCCTTTTTTCAAACAATGCTAATCTATGCTTAGGATAAATATAGCTAAAAACTCTACTATGGTTACTTATAGGCTCATTAACTGTGAACGTTTGCTTATTTTTAAATAGATATATGAGGCAGTCTTGAATAAACACTCCAAAAACTGTTAACATAAAGTTCTGCTGCAAGGCATAATTGATATATTTTTTTTGTAGGTAAACACAGTTGGTACCTTCAACATAATCCGCTTGACAGCAGGTTTGATGGGTGAAAATGAACCAGACAGCAATGGGCAGAGAGGTGTCATTGTGAACACAGCAAGTGTGGCAGCTTTTGAAGGTCAAATGGGTCAAGCAGCGTATTCTGCTAGTAAAGGAGCAATCGTAGGAATGACGTTACCCATTGCTAGGGATCTAGCTAGTGATGGAATTAGAGTTGTATCTGTAGCACCTGGATTGTTCAGAACTCCTCTTTTAGCCTCGCTTCCCGAAAAAGTTATCGCGTTCATGGAAAAATCTGTTCCATTTCCTTCTAGGCTAGGTGATCCGGCGGAATATGCCCAGCTTGTACAAAGTATCATCGAAAACCCTATGATAAATGGAGAAACTATTCGGATAGATGGCGCTTTACGGATGCAACCATAACATTTGTTAGTGTTTCCACACAATATGTACTATATTATGGATTATATATGGCATGTATTATTTCGTTACTTTTCTACAATAAAAGTTGCTTTTTAATTCTAGTTTGAGTCCTTGTAAATTGTGGTATAGCCTAGATATAGCCAATAGTTGTGAACCAGATATATGTAGATGATAATTTGGGACCTTATACATTTCTTATACTCTGCAGTTATTACAATTACGTTATTACAACCAACGTTTTTATTATCAAACTGGGATTATCTTACCGGTTGAAACGAAAAAATGCACGTCTCTGGTTTAAGGAGTGAAGCGTGTCCTCTGCATGTCGTTCTCAGAGTAGACTAATGGAACAAACTCTTAAATGTTTTCTTGCCTGGTTTGTTTGGCTGCCAAACGTATGTTTGAGGTTAGAGAGTTGAAAGTTTTCGTGTTTTGATTCGCACATTTTGGGTATTTCATATTCGCAAGACCTAGTAAAAAAACAGCAATGTCAGAGGGATCTAGTGGGAAAGATTCTTCAACCCTAAAAACACCAATGGTTTACATCTGTGGAGGCAAGTTATATTTTAGTTTGGACATGCCTGATAACTTTGAAAATATTTAATTTACCATGTATTTTAGAATGCCATAATGAAAATGAAATAAGGCCTAGGGATCCTATTCGATGCAGAGAATGTGGCTACAGAATAATGTATAAGAAGAGGACAAAGAGATGTATCCTTTCCATGAAAACATTTGTTCACCACTGTACATTGCTGCAAAATTTCAAATATTTGTCCATTGTATTGCTGCTACACATATGGAGCATCACAAAACCCAGAACACGGGATATGGGGCCCCAAGAGTCGATAACATTTGTGCTTCAAAAATGATGTTCTAGGCATCTCCTCCCACTTTTCAAATACAAACTCATCAGACCCCAGTGATCCTAGATCAACCACTATCTCTGACTCAGTGGTACTTGCCTAAATGGTGGTATCTACTTGGTAAACTATAAGCTAAATAAATATTGGCTGTTTGGTTTGGTAGCCTAGCCTAGACCTAGCATTGCCATTTACATTCCTTATGATGCTCTAGCAACTTTGACTTTAAGTGTTATTTCATTTTGTTGTGTTCTATTTCAAAACTTCATTTTTATGTAGGTGGTACTTATATCCAGGATTGGCAGAGAATAATTAAGGTCTCATAATTAATGTGTATAGGTGAGATATCATGTTGTTGTTGTAAACTTATTTGTCATTAATGTTACAATATCATAACTAGTGATGGAAAATTCTCAAGAATAAAAAAATTGAGAATATTCTCAATAATGAGAATTTTCTGAGAGCGACCTACTAGAAGTAGTAAAACCAATACAAAATCTAAGATTTTATTGAACATTAACAAAAACAAAATATAATAACTTATGTTCCAGAGATAAATAATAAAAATATATGGAGATGATACATTTTCTGTTCCTACTATTTTAAAGTATTTCTTAATATTACTGGGACATATTAAACACTTCAGCAAGTGTTTGGTTATCCTTGTACCATTTTTTACATAGTCACTTGCACAAAATTTACAAGTATAAACTACTTTACCTTCAAATTTGTTCAAATCAAAAATTAAATTCAAGCGGATAATCAAATGAAAATGGTATTTACCATTTTGGATTGGTATTTAGCGATCTGTTCAAGCGAGTGCGGTTATCAGTTTGGTTATAAGATCCCTGATGTTATGAATCAGCTGTTATATGTCATAGTTATCACCGTAAAATTGTGGTATTTACCCAACTCAGGAGTTGTTTTATATTTCTGGTTATTATTTGAAATGTGACAAGTTAGAATTTCGCCGGATATCGGATATTTTTATTGCACTTCAGCTTCATTTTTGGGAAACTTGATACAGTCTGACTTCAGTTTTAGCATAAAGTAGAGCACCTTATTAGTTATAATCATTACTGTTGTTGGGGACACTTTAAATCTAGTTCCTATGCTTAACGAAGTATCCTATGTAGCCATATACCACAAGAATATTAAAATATGGCCATATAAACTCACTGGATGATGTCCACCTGTATGCGCGGTTTTGTTAATATCTTTTTTCGTTTTTTCCTATCATTGGATGATGTCCACCTGTATGCGCGGTTTTGTTAATATCTTTTTCCGTTTTTTCCTATCATGTCTGCTAAATCAATAAATATTTTCTTTGACATGCGGAAAAGTTTAGAGAATTGAAAGTTATCATAGCTACAAAGCCATGGTTCCATCATTAAAAATTTTTTTCTGAAAAAAAAAACATTTCTCCCATTAATATTATGAAAGGTTTCTTTTTTAAACTTTCCATACACCCTTGTACACGAAAAAGCACCGATTATTAAGTGATAATAAAAATAATCAGAAATTATATACGGGCTTTTCTAAAATAAACAACTTGCAACAAAACCGCGGTTAAAACCATCGCGTTCAAGCGATTCGAGCAACTGACGTCATCAACCCGTGTGTCATCTTGAACCATATTATAACCGCAGTACATAACACAGAAATTTTGGTTATGCCCTTGGATTTGATTAAAGTGATTCCACACATTACTTTTTGGTGTGGTTATTTTCTTATCACTCATAATTTTGCCGGTTTTCATGTTCAACAAACGAAAATAATTCTAATATTGTCATTCGCTTGCGATGCTTGCAGGTTATGACAGGAAAAAATATCAACACATCTGGGATTCCCCACGTGGTCGTTTTGCTTGCTAAAAGTTGGTTTTCGAGGGGAACGCCCAGCCGGGTAAAGCCGCGTGTACACCATACTGCTAAAAGCATTTGAGTAAATTACCGGCGGAAATTTTTTCTACGAGAATATTCTCGTTCTCGAGAATATATGTCTTGAGAATATTCTCGCCTCACATCACTAATCATAACACAATATTTTATGCCTTCAAGTCTAAATATTTTTATACAAAATTTCACTACTATGAATTCTGGTTTTCCATGAGATATTTTTTCAATTTCATTCTCAAACTGGCACACATCTTGATATCATTACTTAATTTATTAAATTCGCACAACCATTTTGAAATACAGATTTGTTTGTTATATTGCTACTACAATTTTTGTAAATGAAAGTCTAAACTTCCACTAGTAGAATAACTATAATAACTACTGTTCAATTCAATAAAATTGTCCAAGTGATTTGGTAGAAGATGATTTTTTATCTTGAATATGAAAGTGAAAACCAAGTAGGGTAAAGAGAGAAAATGTAGTGCATTTTCGTGTTGATAATCCCCCATGTTTCTCTGGCCAAATCAAAGCACATAGGTATGTTTAAAATTCCACTTTATTGTACAATTGACATTTTTTTGACATTGTTTTATTTTTTATATTATTAAACATATGTGGTTTGATTCCGCAAGTGAACCATGGGGGTTGTCAATGTCAATTGAATTAATACTAAATCGCTTATATCTTGAAAACTATCATCTGTAGCGAAAATTTCATAAGAAGCTGTTTAGTTCAGGATGATCCAAAAATGTCTGAACCAATTTGTCCAGAGCAAAAAATCCAATTCTAGCAATATTCTATTCTATTCTAGGAACATTTTTAAACAATTTTCGACGCAAATTTGTGCCCGGAAAGATGTAGATTTAGAATAAAGTTATAAGGTCTAAGAAGATCCATTTAATGGCGTCCTTGAACGAGGCCTTGACTATGCTCACTTGAAGGTCAGTACACTTTTCTTAAATGGAAACCCCGAAAATGTAAAGAGCAAGAATCTTTATGTTCAGATATGATATGACCATCAAGGTAATTTGAAGATCAAATGAACCTTTAACGGAAACCAGTTATTTTTAATTTATGAAATGAATGAATGAATTCCGGACAGTTTTGTTTTTCTGTAAGTTAACGTCTCTAAGAATCCTTACGTATTCATAATTTCTAAACTTGAATATAAGATGGCTTTATTATAAGATACAGCAAGACGAGAAGAGCATGGTTAATTTATAAGCAATCAAGATAAAATATTATCCTTAACCTAATTTCACAGTGGTTGTCTTTGATGCTAGATGAAGAACTCTAAGGATTTGGTGGCTGGTGAAGCTATGTTAGGTATAATAATATGTATGTTTTAAGTAAGTTGATTAGAAGAGCCAATAAACTACAGTTTCCTATGTATTGGTTTCAATCTTTTAATACTTTGGGTAAGTTGACCAATTATCCAAACCATGTTTTTTAAGTTCAATTATATTGTTTTCTCGTGTCCGGGCTAAACCCTTACCGTAAGATTAATGCTTCATTTATTGTACGTTTACAACTCCTTTTCTTCTTAAAAACAAGGGAGTCAAATAACCAGTAAAATAGGATTAACATTTGAGGCCTTATCTGACGTTTATCAAATAAGTTTGTGTATGCATTTCAGGAGAAACGTAAATTTTTCTAGGTTTTTACATCATCACTTCATTGTAAAGTTAAGTTGGTCTTTAAAGACGAGACTGGTCAGGGGCGGATCTAAACAATATGATTGTTTAGGGAGCGCCTCGGGATTCATGTTCGGAAAGATATATGGTATTGATAATAATTCACGCCTTTTTTATTTTTAATAATATTACAGAGGCGTGATTTAGATGCCACCTAACCCTATCTATATGAGATGTTTAGAAATTGGTTGAACATTAATACCTGTATACAATAACGACAAAATAAACCCTATGGGTCAGACTTAGGAGCTAAATTATGTCAATTTTCAGCCATTTGAGGTCATTAATGGGCAGATCGATAGCTAATTGAAATTAAGCATTTTGAAATACAGGCAGTTGTATAAAAAGACGCGAGGCGCCCAGTTTCAGAAAATTGAGTTCTTATACAAAGGGAGTTTGCCAATATCTCTGGGGCCAATAATGAAGTATGTTATAAGTTGTATTATAAAAATGCATTTTTTCGTTTATGGATAAGTCAAAAAAAGATGAAAATTGTTTTGCAATATTGACGGCCCAGAAAGCTTGGCTTTTGATGGGTTCATCTTTGAATAAATTGTTATCGATAACAAATATCTATTATCTTTGTACGATTTTAAACTTCATGAATGCTAGATTTGGCCAAGCTTACAGAATATACTTCATAAAACTTAACCGTGACTGGTCTAATTGTGGTATAACAATCGTTATTTACGGTTTCAAGGTCAAAAACATCACATTTCAGTTTGACTTTGAGATCTTGCTTCAATAAATTCTATTTCAGCCTCAAATATAACATAACAACAGTGCGAGAAACTTTTCGATGAAAGCTCAAATATTGATAATAAAACAAAAAACTTTATAATTGTTCTGCCAGTTTTACATGTCTACCTGCTTGGAAAAGGGTTTTGAGTTTATTTGAAGGAGTGCCACATTTATCCAATGACAAAATCATCTCAGATAGGAGCTACTAAGGGGCCAACATGGATTTCAGGGTTCCATCATCTCTCAAAGTTAATATTTTACTACCTGTTTTTCCTAAGAATTGCATTAGTAGGGGAACAGTCATTTTACCTGATTTTAATCCCCTTGAATTTTATTATGGGGATGGAGAAGGTACCAGTAACCCTAGTTGACTGTGTTAGTTAAGTTTTAGGTATCTGTTTAGCATTAGTCCTTTTGATGATATCAAAGTGTTGAAAGTGTTAAAAACTTTGGTGCTTTGGGTAAGTATAATATTTGTTTTTAAATGTTGTAAAAAAGCATCACGAGATATAGCATCATTTAATAGATAAAGATATTTAAGGTGCATGAAAAAATATGTGCTTAGGGTCTTCTACCAGGTATGATATTAGGGTATTTCCCTGACCAGAAACTCAATAGGAGCAATTAAAAAAGTTACTTGTAGTAATAATATCACGATTGAGTACACAGTTATCAAGGACAAATAAAAAATCTCACTAATACCAGTAACTACATGTGTATAATCAATTACTTTGTGAATAATCTTGTTATTCAATCTTGGATGGCTTTGAAATGGAATGATGTAGGTATATGCCGAAAAACCTGGTTGTGCAGCCAAATGTCATTAACGTTTATTTTTCAACATATAGTACCTACATAAAATAAGGTGGTTTATTTGTCAGGTTGTTAGTATAAGCGAAATGATTTAGCGGTTAACAGGAAAACTGCTTTGAATGAGCCAGTAGCAGTATGATGGTGTTATCGATTGCCGGGTCTACAACAGTCCGCCGGTGGCGAATTTCAAGGTCGGTGCGCAAGGGCACACTCCGCGACCACTTTCAGCAGTTCTTCTGAACAGAAATTTCAAGGTCGTCGACGCGTCGTGCAATCAATAAACCAAAATACGTGGTCTGGGTCCCGTAAATTACATTTGGCGGCGAGGCAGAGCAAACCTGCAAACTGGACGAGCGTCGAACGTCGTATTCCCTGTCGTTCAGTTGCACAAATATTGGTGCGTAGCTGCATGCGATATGCAAGCGTTATCGCCGAGCCGCGCCGGGTTTGCCAAGTTCATTATCCCCGTTTTGGATGGCAAATAAAGCGGGCTTTGTGCCACAGGCCACAGCAGTCTTTTGTTTTCTTCGTGACGTACGCGATGACAGTGAAAGCCGGCGTCGGGTCCTCAATCGCATCCTGAAAAGCATCAAACAGTGGACATATTCGTTCATCCCTGTTACAAATTCGCATTGAATAACAGGGGTCAGGTGGTCATCAAGTGGCCAGATACATTTTTTGCGTTTTGAAAACAAAAATTTTTGAGACAGCGGCGCGCATCGCGCGTGCGCAATTGCCGACTGGCAAGTATGTGAAGAGACCCCAAAACAAGTGTAATCAGAAGAAAGCATACGTGGATTTTCTCCCAAAAAAAACATTGCCGGGGCATGATCGTCTTTTGTTTCGGCGGTTTGCGACATCCTGTATCGAGTGTGCCTTGGTGCCGGGTGTGTCAACTTGATTTCGGCTGTGTCAACGCAGGTGTGTATAGATGTTTGATGTAATGAAAGATTCGGCAAATCCGAATTATTTCGGCCTTGAGCCTGGTTTTCGCTAATGATGGTAACTCAGCTTTGTTTTGCATCACCTACCACAACGCAAAAAGGTAAACAGTCTCAAGAACAAAGTGTGTCTAGACGTCGCAACGACATTCAAGATTCAAGGCCGACTTAGTTGCGGGTAGGACGGTGGTTCATTCTGGGGATGAAATGGATAACAGGCCTGCTTAAATTGCCGTCTTTGTCCGGTCGGGTGTTGGGGTTCTTTTACCTGTTATTAGGTGGTTAAACCTTAGGAGGGTGTTGACTGTATTTATATTTCATAATTCTCTTATATCTTTTCATCAGCGAAAAGTTGGCTTTTGTTTTGTGCTTGCGGCTTGCGTACCTAGTTGTGTTTTTGTTTTATACATACGTCTGACCAGATTAATGTTAAAAGGTAGGAATTTATAAATGAATACAATGATAACTATTTATGTTGATGATTATGATTATGAATGATTATGGAATGTTTGTGTGAAAACAGGCAAAATTGTGTGCGCATTTAGTATGATAAAATATAGTAATAGGGTTTCAATATTATCTACGTAAGTATACCTACCGCTTATGAAATAATGGATATATTTGTATAATAAATAGTTATTTCATTGCAATAGGAAGTTTCAGTAGCATTTATATTTTTAATATTATCATATATATATATATATATATATATATATATATATATATATACAGGGTGGCCAAACACGTGACGTCATAAAAAAAAAATTAGATTCCCCACATCGAGAGGAACCCAAATCACCCCCATATATATGGTCCGATTTTGTTTAGTTTAGGAGTTATGATTTTTTTTCGGATTTTTCGAGAATTTTTGAGTTCTGTGTTTATTTTTACCATAACTTCGTTAATAATTGTGATAAATGCCTGCTTTTTTCACGATTATGTAGCTAAGACCTAAGGCTTAACTATCATATAATCATTCAAGTCATGTAACTAATACTACTTTTTAATTTTTTTCAAAATCTTCGAACATAACAAAAAAGTAAAAAAGTGCAACAACTTTGAACGTTTATAAAAAATTGAAAAAACATGTTCTTACTATTCGTAAGTATCTTAAAAACTTCCTTACGGTATCAGCTATTTACCGTAAAAATTTCATCAACCTAGCTTTACTACATGCTACCGTAATTGTGGCTCAAATAGAACCGAACCCAAAATTGGATAACCCTCTGCTCAATAGAAATTGTTAGTTTCGGAAAAAAAATTTGCAAAAACCACAAAAACACGTTTGATTTTTACTGAACAGCAGATTATTATTCATTTATGTTATTTACAAGAGGTTTTCAAAATGTCTGCCTCTAACAGAAATGCACAGTGTACACCTACGTATGAAATTTTGTTTTAAATCTCTAAATGCTTGTGTGTTGTTTTTCAACACATGTGTCGCTTCTTGAATTTTGTTCCTCAATGAATTTTCATTTGCACATTCTTGGGCGAATGTTATGTCTTTAAAATATCCCCAAACAAAAAAATCAATGGGGTTGAGGTCAGGGGAGCGTGGAGGCCATCGTATCGGTCCGTTTCGTCCGATCCATCTGTCTGGGAACCTTTCGTTTAAGTAGTTTCGCACGATCGTTGCGTTGTGGCATGGTGCACCATCATTCTGGAACACCGTGTTCCGTCTGGCTTCCAGGCTTGAATCTTCCAGCAATAATGGTAGGCTATTTTCAAGGAAGCTTTTGTAGGCTACCGAATCCAACCTTGACGGCAGTTCAAATGGACCGATAAATTCCATATTGAATATTCCTGAATAAGAGGCCATATCAGCCGAAACCTCGTGCTCTAAAAAATTGGATATTCCGGGACTCTGCTTTGCATACTGATTTGGACTTTGTTTGCTAAGAAGTTTGTGATGCATTATACGTTGCGTGAATATGCAGAAATGCATTATTATTATGGCGTTGCTCAAGGCAACGGCGCTTTAGCAGCTCAGCTGTACCGGGAACAACTTATACGCCGAGGCGGACCACAACCTGAGCATTACCCAGACCACCGTGTTTTTATTAACACACATAACACTTTCATGGCAGGCCGCATTCCAGGACGAGGAAGCAATGAAGGATATCCTACAGCTGATCCGGATCGCAGAGAAGTAGTACTTGAAGAAATTAGCCGGAATCCCTCAACGAGTACAAGATCTATGGCACAAAACCTTAGAATACCACGAACATCGATACAAAATATTCTTCATGAAGAAGGTTATCATGCCTATCATGTTCAAAGAGTTCAAGCGTTGATGCCTTCAGATTACCAGTTAAGAGTGGATTTCTGCGAGACAATGCTGCGAAGACAACGAGAGGATCCCGATTTTTTTGATAAAATTTTATGGACTGACGAGTCACGTTTTGAAAGAACAGGGATATTCAATATCCATAATTTACATACTTGGGCTGTTGAAAACCCCCACCAGTCAAGGCCGTCGACATTTCAACACCGTTTTAGTGTGAACATGTGGTCAGGAATATTCAATATGGAATTTATCGGTCCATTTGAACTGCCGTCAAGGTTGGATTCGGTAGCCTACAAAAGCTTCCTTGAAAATAGCCTACCATTATTGCTGGAAGATTCAAGCCTGGAAGCCAGACGGAACATGGTGTTCCAGAATGATGGTGCACCATGCCACAACGCAACGATCGTGCGAAACTACTTAAACGAAAGGTTCCCAGACAGATGGATCGGACGAAACGGACCGATACGATGGCCTCCACGCTCCCCTGACCTCAACCCCATTGATTTTTTTGTTTGGGGATATTTTAAAGACATAACATTCGCCCAAGAATGTGCAAATGAAAATTCATTGAGGAACAAAATTCAAGAAGCGACACATGTGTTGAAAAACAACACACAAGCATTTAGAGATTTAAAACAAAATTTCATACGTAGGTGTACACTGTGCATTTCTGTTAGAGGCAGACATTTTGAAAACCTCTTGTAAATAACATAAATGAATAATAATCTGCTGTTCAGTAAAAATCAAACGTGTTTTTGTGGTTTTTGCAATTTTTTTTTCCGAAACTAACAATTTCTATTGAGCAGAGGGTTATCCAATTTTGGGTTCGGTTCTATTTGAGCCACAATTACGGTAGCATGTAGTAAAGCTAGGTTGATGAAATTTTTACGGTAAATAGCTGATACCGTAAGGAAGTTTTTAAGATACTTACGAATAATAAGAACATGTTTTTTCAATTTTTTATAAACGTTCAAAGTTGTTGCACTTTTTTACTTTTTTGTTATGTTCGAAGATTTTGAAAAAAATTAAAAAGTAGTATTAGTTACATGACTTGAATGATTATATGATAGTTAAGCCTTAGGTCTTAGCTACATAATCGTGAAAAAAGCAGGCATTTATCACAATTATTAACGAAGTTATGGTAAAAATAAACACAGAACTCAAAAATTCTCGAAAAATCCGAAAAAAAATCATAACTCCTAAACTAAACAAAATCGGACCATATATATGGGGGTGATTTGGGTTCCTCTCGATGTGGGGAATCTAATTTTTTTTTATGACGTCACGTGTTTGGCCACCCTGTATATAACTTGAGACGTGGTCATTGTCGTCTAAACCAGTTAGGTGAAAAATTAAAGCTTCCGCCTTTTGTTGGGTACTTCGAAGTACCTATATATATATATATATATATATACTAAAGATATGCACCGGGTACTACCTACTTTGTACTTCCCAAACCTACTGACCGGGGGAATTGTATTGTATTCGCGAAACTCGAAAATTTATGTTTTTTGGATGTTATATAGGTAACGCCTTCGGTCTGTCCGCTAATCTTATAACCGCCTATAACTTGAGAAGTACCGCTCTGATTTCGATGAAATTTTTACACAAGGTTACTGCTATGCCAAAAGCTTTGTAGTTTTTAAAAATCGGTCCAGTGGCGGCAGAGAAAAAGGCAAAAACGAAAAAGAATAAAAATCGCTCAAACTTCATTTTTTGACGTTTCAGAGGAACCTAATCATTTTTGAAAAAACAATTTATTGGAAAAAACTTGGGGGTGGGAAGGGCTTGTCTCAATTTTTTGATGTCGGTACATTTATACGCTACCAACCTTGTTAATCCTACGCACCTATTAGGCATCATAGATTTCTCCGTTCATAAAACTTCAAGTATTCTACGCAGACGGTTCGCGTACCTACCGGCCGCGGCTGCTGCTTACGGCGGCGTGCATTTGCCGGCCTTGGTGAGTGTTCTCGTACGATATTAGACGTATATTTCTACCGCGCCACAGCATAGTGTGTTTCTTAGCTTGGGCCGCGCTGCCACGTCTGAGCGAGATATGTTAAGTATCGGGGAAAGGCGACATTTCCAGATGATCTATCGGTAGGACAGGGAAAGAATGTCTATGGACTAATTGTATGGACTTGTTTGACTGACTTTTTTCTCGGGTCTAGTTTTTGCTGAAGATTATCCTTTATGAACTGTTAACGGCGTTGCGTGGGAAGTGCGGAGTCAACCTACTTGACGCCATTTTATAATAAAGCCTAGTACCGGGTGCTGGGTCGGATTTGGGTACCGAGTACTCGTCTGGGTACTCGGTAAAGTGATTAGTGCTGGTTTACATATTTCAGTTACTATTTTTAATATCAACATTATATTTGAGTGTGTGAATGGACTTTTTGTGGTAAAAATTGATACTATCCGTATATTCACGTATCACTATGAACAACTTGTGCGACATTCCCGATTTTTTGTTAGAGTTAAACGCTATGATGATAGGTTAGTGTATTACGATGAACTGTTAACGGCGTTACGTGGGAAGTACGCAGTCAACCTACTTGACCCCATTTTTTTAATCAAGCCGAATACCGAGTACTCGTCTGGGTTTATTTCAGTTACGGTTTCTAATATCAGGGTTATACTTGAGTTTGTTAAAGGACTTGGTATGGCAAAAATTGATCCAACAAATTCAC